GCAGTAGCGTAAAAAAAGAAAGAAGTATTTCTAGGAGATTCCAGTAAATGGTTAGAGGCCAGACTGATTCACTACAGGTAACAACGCTACTATACCTCTAACTATACAGTACAAAGAGCAGAAATAGGCAATATCTCATGTCTTGAGCATACACATTAGCTAAAGCACTTTAATGTTATTTTCTCACATTTTCCCCTTCATTTATGTATACAGCACACAAATATATAGGAAAAAGTATATACAGTATTTAATTGCAAGCTTCTCATTCTAAAGTGTGCTCACATTCATATCTCACTTTAGTACAAGTCACCACAAGAACTGCCATCTTTTTGATGGGGATGTATATCACACAACCTTCATGAAAAATGTAAGCCCCCTTTGTTTCATGAATGATCTGTACTAAAAAGGGAGGAAAACTTGGAGGAAATAAAGGAGGATTATGAGCCCATTTCATGTATGTTACATATATCCATAGCCAGGGGTCCCTACGGCCAAAAGGTCCAGAATTCGCCCTTTTAATTATTTTATGTTATTTAACATTATATAATATATTTATTATATAATTTATATATTTATATTTATTATATTGTAATAAAGTGTAATTTTTAATAACCCTGGCCAGTAATTTGAATCCACCCTCAAAGCCACAATAATGTGACGCGAGTCACGTGACATAACTAGGCCCGCACGGAATCTGCGCGCGCAGAATTCTGCAGAATTTCCGCAGATTTTCCGCAGAATTCCGCAGATTTCTGCAGATTTTTAGCCCATCATTAATTCAGTTTTTTAACTTGAGTAAATGTGTAAATCTGAATTTATACAGTTTTTATTCAGTAATTTATTACTTTTTATTTAATATATTAAGGGTTTAGTTATGATACTCCGCTGGATACTCCCAAAATAATTCCGCAGAATTCCGCAGATTTTTACCAAAATTCTCCGCAGAAATAGCAAAAAACGTCTGCAGATTCCGTCTGGCCCTAGACATAACCCACTAACTGAGTGGTAACATTTGAATCTTTGATGCGACATGAGTATGGATACTGAGTAACGCTGTGGGTTAAAAAGACCAAGAAAGGCAGAAAAGATATAGGCAGCTGTGTCATTATTGCAAAATATTAGACATATGTTCAAAAAGACTGCCAAACTTTACTTACTTCCTAACAGATGAAAATTTGCATGAGGTAAAATTTTCCCTATCCATGAGGTTCTAGGCTAACTGGCCGCATTAGTCAGGACGTCCTGTATATTTATTGACTTGTCCAGTACATGACCTCCCTTTCCCTATATTTGCCATTATTATTATTTTTTTAAATAACTGGGCACTAATCCCGTCACGTTGGTGTTTTTGTGGCTGCGTGCTCACTTCATTCGTTTTATTCTGATCGATTTTCAATCCGATCACTCAAACCACTTCAAAAGGTGATCTGGGATGCATTCCAGATTAAACTGTACAGGTCTAATAATTTTTTAGACATAATTATTCATTCATTCATTTTCCTCTCAGCTTAGTCCCTTTATTAATCCGGGGTCACCACAGCGGAATGAACCGCCAACTTATCCAGCAAGTTTTTACGCAGCGGATGCCCTTCCAGCCACAACCCATCTCTGGGAAACATCCACACACACTCATACATTACGGACAATTTAGCCTACCCAATTAACTTGTACCGCATGCCTTTAGATTCTGGGGGAAACCGGAGCACCCAGAGGAAACCGGAGCACCCGGAGGAAACCTACGCGAACGCAGGGAGAACATGCAAACTCCACACAGAAACGCCAACTGAGCCAAGGCTCGAACCAGCGACCTTCTTGTTGTGAGGCGACAGCACTACCTACTGTGCCACTGCTTCGCCCCTAGACCTAATTAATATAAACAAAATAATTCGGCTGTTGCTTAAACTATCTGATGTAAGAGAAGTCTTTCACTACTATATTGTTTATAAACAGAGAAAACATTTTACAGGGAACTTTTATTCTAAACCTTGGACTTTATTCCTGAAATAAAAATGAGCAATAAAAAGGTGTGTAGCATCAGAAGTAGACCATGTTAAATTAATTTAAATATATTTTGGCTATTGTTGATATCCAGGAATTTTTATACTTTCTTTACCAAAGAGAATTCATAATTATTGTTTTATTATTATTAATAATAATAACAATAATAATAATTATTATTATTTTGTTATAAATATTATTTTTTATTGAAATGGCCATTCTGTGACTGAGTTAAATGTCCAGTTTGTTTTTTGTCTAATAAATGAAAGTAGGCTGCAGTTTTTTTTTTTACTTTAAAACTTTAAGAGATTGCCATTTTTTCCTAATGATATATGATGTAATAAATTTGTATTTAAAAAAATTGTCTTGTTTTAATTTTCCTTTACTGCAAATTTTAGGAAATATTTTTAGTACATCAAAAAGTGTGATTATGATGACATCTGACTTAATCCAGCAAAAAAAAAAAAAAAAGTACTGCTTAAAATGTCACTAAAATGCAGTATTTAAATCTCATAGTTAAATGGAAACTGAGGACTGAAACTGCAAAAAGGCGGGCTACGGGCCTGTTACAAATAAAGCTTGATTACCTTGTCACATGCACAATTTTTTTCTCTTCTCTCCCCCAAAGGGTCAAGATAGAGAGCCCTCCTCTCTTGAGGGACAATGACCTTAATTTGCCATTGTTAATTTTATTGTTATTATTCATGTTAAACACTCTGTAATCCACTCAAAACGCTATTAAAACCGATTTTTGGTGCGCAAACTACCAGTTATGATCGCTGTAAACGGACGTTCTTAGCATTCTAACAAAAGACGCTGTTCACTATGGCGCCCTCCATGCAGCAGCCAGTAAAAAGGACTATATAAACACGCAAAACCTTCTCACGCAGTTAGCTGAGAAATGAGGCGAATTCAGAAACTTTTGTAGAGGATTTCTGTGCAATACTGCGATTGTTCAAGAGCCCAGAGGATTTCTGACAGGACACTTTTATTGCAGAAGGAGTTTGGAGGATTTTATCTTTGAATAGTTTCTCTCTTTTGTAGAAAAAAGTTCAGATTATTTCTCAGGACAGTTCTTTTATTGTGCTTTTGTATTTTTTTTTTTTGTTTGTTGTTTTTTTTTTGGGTTTATTTGTGCTATTTTAATATTTATTTATTTAATTTAACTATAATTTTTTTTTTTTTTTTTTTAAGTTGGAGTTTGAGGCAGTTCATGTGTGAAAAACGAGGTGAGTATTTCAAATCTTTCATTTTCTTCATTATTGGCATGTTATGATTTTCTAAAATGTTTGACTAAATATGAGTAACTCTGTGCAAGTTAATTCACTTAATCTTAATTAAAGCAACAGCCAGGGCTGGTGCGTCCATAGAGGCGACCTAGGCAGCCACCTAGGGTGGCAGAATAGAGAGGGTGGCGTCCCCGAAACTACCCTCACCACCCGTGCCCTCAGTTAAATCCGCGTCTAGGGCGGCATTATCGAGAGGGCGGCGTCTGCGACACTACCCTTACCAGCCGCATCCTCAGTTATATCCGTGTCTAGGGCGGCAGAATAGAGAGGGCGGCGTCCGCGACAGCTCCCTCAACCCCCCCTCAACTTGCTCCAGCCCTGGCGAAAGTGCTGAGGAAAAAACTTCACTAATGGGCAAAAGTGAACGATTAAAAACCTCAAGAGAAACCAGGCTCTGTTGGGCATGGCCATTTCTCCTTTGGCCAAATGTCTTGTTTAGAGCTGCAGTCAAGGCGCCGGAGGCTGAGAATGCTGGACGTCAGCGAAGACTCGTCTATCTGTGGAGTATCACGGGAATCAGACTCATGCTCTTTACTTCTCCATAACCACTACACAGCAGCTGCACAGGATACGGACTGGTCCGGGATTATGGAAACCTTGGGATCATCTCTTCAAAGGTCTTGGATCACATCAGTGGCGCTCTATAATCTCTGTGGGCCTCTGGATAAGTATCCCCAGGTGGAAATAGCGAATAAAAAGAATAATTAGCGTAGCTTCTGTTTATAGTGTATATAAACGAGATGCAAAACCCTGCGTGGAGCACATTCATGCATCATACTGCTATGTGATGCATTGTGTATGCTTTGCTAAAAAGACGGGTCTTTAATCCAGTTTTGAACTGCGAGAGTGTGTCTAAATCTCACACATTATCAGGAAGGCAATTCCAGAGTTTAGCAGCCATAAATGAGAAGGCTTGACCTCCTTTACTCGACTTTGCTCTTTTAGGTACTACCAGAAGCCCTGAGTTTTGAGATCTCATAAAAGTGGTTTGGATTGAAGCGAGACAGAAGATTGGTTAGATAAACAGGAGCTAGATTGTTTAAAGCTTTATAGGTAAGAAGCAATATTTTAAATTCAATACTGAACAGACAGCCGGTGTAAGGAGGATAAAATTGGGGTGATATGATCATATTTTCTAGACCTGGTTTACAATAAACTAAACAAATGTTCTTTACTGTAGTTACTGTTGTTGTCTATGTATTTTGTATATACCGTGTATTACTTTGTATGTGTGTATGTGTGTGTGTTTGTGTGTGTTGAAAGGCTATGTATTTTAGTCAGTGGCAAAAAACAATCAATAGCGCCATCATCCGACCATTAAATCGACTTGAAAAAATATGTTCATTCTCTTTTAGTTAGTTAGTTAGTTATTTCTGCTTAATATTCGACCTCAACTACTTCTTTGTGACTTTTCCCCGCTGTAAAAGTTAGTAACATTAACGTTAAATTAGGCATGGGTGGGTTATAATGACCATAATACAGCTGCTATAACCATTTAAAAAAGGTAACGCCGTAGCTAATTTGGACAGATTTGCTAAAAATATTTTGTTTTATCAAAATGAATTGAACATTATTATTCCAGACCCTGTTTTTGGCTTACAATTGCCAAAAGTTTTAGTATGAAAAACCTGGAATCGAGCAACCAGCTCTACTGCTGTCACGGAAGAATCGCGTCACAGAGGTCGACGTATTACAACTTCCTGTTTTGGGAAGCTTGGGTTCTTGTTCGTTACAAAGCTAGTAGGCTCGAATCACAACTTGGTTGTCCTAATGTGCATCTATCTTTTAGAAGTGAAAAGTGCGACTTACTGCATCTATTGAAGCAATGTCGCTCAGTCCCGGTAGGTATAGTTATTTACTAAAGTGAAGTAGCTAACGTGAACACACTTGCGATGCTAGCACAAATCGACATCAAAAACGTGCATCGATGAAGGCTTTAGGCTGATTTACATGTCTGGTTTTAACTGTAAATGTTTATTGAGTTTCGAGAATGTTAAAGCAAGGTCGCCAGACTGTCACGACAACAAATGTACTTTATGTACGTTAACGTTAGTGGTGTGGTTTTGCTATGTCAGGGTTGGATTAAATTATTCTGCTGTTGTTGTTCTCAGGCAAGGTCTAAGTCTTACAAAATATATATAAAACCATAACCTTGTTTATTATTGACGTGAATACATTTTTGCATGTTAGAATAACATGTTGTGAATCTATTTCATCTGCTTTCTGACAGATTTGCCCCCAAGCGAGGAGCAGAATTTAGAGATACAGGGATCTGCTACTAATTGTTATTCTGTGGTAATAATTGAAGAACAGGATGACACCTTTAATGACCAACCTTTCTGTAAGTAGAGGATATATACAAGCCCAAATATTTGTCGTGTTCAAAATGTAGTACAACTCTTTTTAGGTATTGTCAATGTTCATATCTTCCCAAGTTAAGTTCGTTATATATTTACATTAGACTTTCTTTTTAATAATATAATTTCATAAAAGTATTCTTTGCTTATTCTAATTGGGGAATTCATATAATCAGCCAATGTCTTTAAAAGTACAACATTGTTATACAGTCAATCAAATAGTGCTAATGTTGTTTTGAAGTCATACTTGCATGCAATTTTAGACTGAAAATTCAAAGTAGCGGTAAACAATACAGGGAGCGTTTTCCAAGTCATTGACAGAACGAATGTGCAAATATAAAACCAACTTTACCTTAATTCTTCTACTTCATCTTATTGACAGATTGTGAGATGTGTCAACAACACTTCATAGATCAGTGTGAGACCCATGGTCCACCTTCGTTTACATGCGACTCTCCAGCGGCTTTGGGTACACCTCAAAGAGCTCTGCTAACACTGCCACAAGGCTTGGTTATTGGTCGATCAAGCATCTCTCATGCAGGACTTGGGGTTTTCAACCAGGGCCAAACTGTTCCTCTAGGGATGCATTTTGGGCCTTTTGACGGTGAAGAGATCAGTGAGGAAAAGGCACTGGATAGTGCCAACTCTTGGGTAGTAAGTGTCTACCTTACTGTTTTTTTTTCTGTATTTGTCACAGTCCTAATTGTTATTTTAGTGTTGGATTAAATGTATATTTATATATTTATTTTCTCCAGATTTGCAGAGGAAATAATCAGTATAGTTACATAGATGCAGAGAAAGACACTCACTCTAACTGGATGAAGTAAGTACATATTTTATGTTTTTTGTTGTGTATTGTTGTTTTGGGGCATGCAGGATTGAAAAGATTTGAGTGTGATGTTTGTTTTTCTGCAATGTATACTGCGATATGATTACAATTTCTCCAAATAACTTCAATTGCTCTTTTAGGGAATAATGAATTTATGGTTGCAATATTTTATTAGAAATTTTTGCAGACATTAACAATTAGAAATTTGAAAAAGAAAAAAAGAGAAAAAAAACAGTCCTAAAAATGATAATTAAACAAAAAAATAAACATGCATTACCCCAACCAACTACCCACAAGTGCTATCTAATAATAAATCTAGTTACTAAAGGCATAGTAAAAAAAAATATATATATATATATATATATATATATATATATATATATATATATATAGATTGATATGATTTTTTAGGGGAGTAAATATTCACACAGTATGATCAACAAATTACAAAGTTAAACACAATAGGTAAAAAGTTAAATGAACGGCTTTATGGTTTTTTGGGAGTCAAGAAGTTTTCAAATACAGATATGCAACACTGTATAGTCTTTATTGTGTTAATAATTCCATAAAATCAACCTTAATTTGTTACAAAGGTTGTAGTTTGATGTGCCTAAATGCTTCAAACTCTGTTGAAATCTGCACATAGTCAAAAGCTTTAAAACACATGCCAATGATAAACTTCCAGTCTATTATGGTTAGGGATGCACAATTTGGAGAAAAAAATTTAATAGCATTTTTTCTGGTTAAAATTGCGACTTAAAATGGCATGTATTACTATTAAGCATAATAGCCTAATCACAAAGTATGCTACACTATGCTACTGTTTATGTAAAACCTCTTAAACATTGTTGACAGTTTTTTAAAATAAGGCTGTCATGACAAATTAAGAAATAGCTACAATAATTGAATTATTATCTATAAAATCCTTTAAGAATCCAAACACAATGTAAACAATTTTACATCAGTAAAACTCTTGACGATAACCTACATTAAGATTAAAACAACGACAGCAAACGTTTTTGCCATTTAAAGTGCGAATAAGATGAATAATTCTAAAGTCAAACGGTCTACAAGAAAACCTTCACATTTACATTGTTACATTTTTCACTTTTATCAGGGTAATTTGTGTATGAAATTTCAGTCAGAGCTGTCAAAAACTATGTATATGCTTGGTACTATATTTGACAGTGCATCCAAATAATTGCAAATTTTTAGAAACGATTAATCGTGCAGGCCTAAATAGTTCAACTCTGCAGTTACTCCACAAATGATGTCTTCCGAGCACATACTGCAATGTGACTATTTATGAATGTGTACATTGCAAAAAATAATTTCCCCCCACCCCAACACACACAACAACAAACGTAGGAGCTTAATTTTTAATTAAAATATGAACAATTTCGACATGTACACATTCATTACTATTTTAACATGTAGCAAATGATTACATGTTGCATAAAGGTCATTATTTTGCATGATGAATAATTTTCAATATTATATATTCTTATATAAACGCATAGCCTTTCAAATGGTATTCATGGCTAACTATTGATACCAGCACATCTTTAGAAAATGTAATAGAAAGTGTGGTGAAATAAAGCGATTTGAGCCCATATTCCTGACTGGTGCACTGCAAAAAAAAATTCTTTCTTATTTGATTTTTTTGTCTCATTTCTAGTCCAAATATCTAAACATTCTTATATCAATAAGCATTTTCTAGGCATGCAAAACACAATGTGTTGTTTTCAGAAATAATATGCCAAAATTAAGTGAGTTTTTACTTTAAACAAGCAAAATAATCTGCCAGTGGGGTAGGCAAAATAATCTTGTTTTCCTTTTGACATATAATTATTTTTACCCTATTGGCAGATAATTATGCTTGATTTAAGGAAAAATTCACTTCATTTTGGCATGTCATTTCTTAAAACAAGACAACATGTCTTGACTTAAGAATTGTTAGATATTTAGACTAGAAACAAGACATAAAATCTAAGTAAGAAACACACTTTTTGCAGTGCAGTATGTGTTCATAGCACTGGATATTCATAACTTTTAAGGCTTATTATCACTATATGTAATTTACTCTCTTGCTCATTCTATGTTGTCTCCATGATTTCCGGGATATTGTTTCTAATTTTCAGGAATCAAGGAAACTCTATAAACATGCTGGAGACTCCCATAGCTTAAGGGAAAGTTTGGATGTCTGACATTGCGATAGCAATTCTGAAAATAAATATTCTGCAACTCTAGTAGTTTTCTTAGTTATTTTGTAATTGTCTCAAACTTGTGTCTTGCTTTAGGTTTGTTGTGTGCTCAAGGAGTGAGACGGAGCAGAATCTTGTTGCGTTCCAACAAAATGGACGTATTCTGTTCCGCTGTTGCCGCCCCATTAGCCCTGGTCAGGAATTTAGAGTTTGGTATGCTGAGGAATATGCTCAAGGACTCGGCGCCATCTGGGATAAGATCTGGGATAATAAATGCATTTCTCAAGGTAACCAAATTTTGCATCTTTAGCTCCTGTTTGGCAAATTGGGGTCTAGTGTAAGTCAACAATGACTATTATGACCTTTGTGAATTAAGAAAACATATTAATTCATAACCTCAAGCACTTGGTTGGGAGTCATGTCTGGCTTTACTTACAAATCATTCTTTTGATCTTGTTTGTGTATTGGTTGATAGTGATAAAATGTAAAAATAGCCTAGTAGTTAGCGCATCGACTCATAGCACCAAGGTACTCATGGCAACCTGAGTTCGATTCCCAGCTCGAGGTCCTTTGCTGATCCATCTCTGCTCTCCTCACTGTAGTGTCTGTAAAATTTTTACTGTCCTATCACAATATAAGTAAAAAAGCTAAAAAATACATGTACATGTACGCAGATTCCTAGGCGACCATCAACTGTTTCCTCAGATGATGATAAGCTAAACAAACATTCCTGCAACTCTGATACAAGATTTATAGAGAAAATTAAAAAGCACTGCTGTGCTACCGAAATGTTTATATTGCATACAAAGTATGAAGCTGATTGATCAGTTCTCCTCTTGTGACTCACAGTACGTTCAGGGCATTCTGAAGATGTTTTCATCTGGGTGTGCCTGGAAGGCACGAGCATGTAATGTGGCCTGCGCGCATCGTTCCCAATATGCGTGCACAAGCTACTCACCTCAGTTGGAAATAACGATCTTGTACGTGGAAAAGATGCAATATGTGAATGGCCACCATCATTTGTGATCTCCAGCAGTCAATCTGCTTCTTGCACAGACATGCTGGATTTACCTGATTTGCTGACCAATTGGTTGCAGATCCATTTCTTTGGCAGTTTGTGGGTCCTTTTTCTGGGCCTTTTTCTCTTCGCAAAGAAACTTTCCGAAGATGCCAGTTTTTTACTCATTTTGCTAGCTCCTGGGTTTAATTTTGGCAGTCAAGTGACCAAAATGTAATCGAGAGAATATAATATTTTTTTTTAATAAAAGATTTTTCAAAATAAAAGATTGTTCAGACTCTAATAATAAATAAAGCAGAAATAATTCATGATTTCTTGTGCGATCCGGTACCCGAGGGGTTGAGGACCACTAGCTGATAGCTCCATTGGATGCCCACTTCAGAATCTCATACATCTCTGCTTGCATGATGTTTTTACTGTACTGTATTACATGGAAGTATGCAATTTCAGACCCAGCCAGAGATTGCAGGAAAATAAGCTTTGATCTCTTAAACATTATGGTGGTATGATGATTCATTAAATAAATAAATGATTAATGCAGACTGTAAGTCTCAAACTCAATTCCTGGAGGGCTGCAGCTCTGCACAGTTTTTCAGTCCAACTCTGATCAAATTCAGCTGATCCAACTAATGAAAGTGTTCATGACTTTAATTTGGATCAGCTGTGTTTGATAGGGTTGGAGTAAAACTGTGCATAGATGCGGCTCTCCAGGTATTGAGTTTGAGTTTACAACTATGCTGTAATTAATTTGTTAAAATGAATTTAAAGAGTTTTGATTATTTTGTAAAGTAGCTTTATAGCATGCACCTGGTATGCAGATGCACTTTGATGGTTTCATGTAATTCTTAAAGGTATCGTTCACCTTTATCGTTAATCTATATTGAAAATACTGTCATTATTTACTCACGCTTTAACTCAGTGGGTTCCATCATTCTTCAAAATATTTTCTTTTGTGTTCAACAGAAGAAAAAAAAACTCATGAAGTTTTAAAACCACATAAGAAAGAATAATTGAGGCAATTTTCATTTTTGGGTGAACATGGTTGCTCTAATTGTGCATTAACAGCCCCTTTCACACATACAGACCTTTCTGGAAAATTGCCGGCAATTTTCCGGAAAGGTTGTATGTGTGAACAGGTCATTTTTGAAAATACTGGTAAATTCGTTCTGGCTATTTTCCGGAAAGAGAAGTTGTAACATTACCGGTAATTTGCCGGAATGCTGCGTTGTGTGAATGCAGAAGGAAGATTGCCGGAAAGAGCGCGTGCACGTCTAGAATGTGCTGACGTGAGATGTCTGCTTTAACCAATCTGAACAGTCAGACGCATTCACGTCCGCGCGGTTTATGAGAATAAAAGCCTTTGAATATTTTCCCAGACGCATATAGCTGCTAGAAGTTAGTCAGAAAACGTACATATGTTCTTCTTAATGCCAACTGTGTAAATAATCATCGATAAGATGCTTATGATACGCCACTGTATGTTTACCTTCAAGCTTTGCATGGCCCTTATGAAACAGCTGTAAACGCTAGCACACACATATTATGAACATCTCGACATGCGAAAGTGATCCTCCATATGTTTTCATCGAAGTTGTTCACAATATTGATCATCCACAGAGTTTGTGATGTAGTCAAATGTTTACAAATACAAGCGCAGCTGTTTAAAGCTCATTTGTGGTGAATGATGTCAGAATTTACAGGTATTTTGGAATGGATGTGTGAACGGTTTTTTATGGAAAAATTCTGTAACGTCCTTGCTGTGTTTGCAGCGCTTTTTTGAATTTACCGGTAAAGTCGTTCCGGAAATTTTCCAGATATTTACCAGTATCACTGTGTGAAAGGGGCTAATGTTTGTTGTATACATTTGCTAGTTACCCAATTATTATAACAATATTAAAACAACCAAGTTTAAATAATTACCCAATTATCATTGTAACCACCCACAATGAGACAACACATAAATAGTTATCCTTTGTGATTTAGAAATAAATACGTCTATTATATAAAGATTTATGGTCTTCAGTATTGCATTGTAGCGACAGCTATACACAGTGAATTTGGTACACATACCTGTGATGACAAAGAGGCTTTTCTGTAATTGAATTTCTTTTTTTTTCAGGTTCAACTGAAGAACAGGCAACTCAGAATTGTCCATGTCCTTTTTGCCATTACTCCTTCCCTACCCTTGTTTATCTGCATGCGCATGTGAAGCGCACGCACCCTAATGAGTACGCACAATTCACACAGACACATCCGCTTGAATCTGAAGCCCATACACCCATCACTGAAGTAGAACAGTGTCTTGTGGCCTCCGATGAAGCGCTTTCAACACAAACGCAGCCGGTGACAGAAAGTCCTCAGGAGCAGATTTCAACCCAAAACGGACAACCCATCCATCAGACTGAAAACTCGGATGAGCCTGATGCATCTGATATATACACTGCTGCAGGTGAAATTTCAGATGAAATACATGCATGTGTTGATTGCGGTCGGTCGTTTTTGAGATCTTGTCATCTGAAGCGACATCAGCGCACCATTCACTCCAAAGAGAAGCCTTATTGCTGCAGCCAATGTAAGAAGTGCTTTAGTCAAGCAACAGGGCTGAAAAGACACCAGCACACCCACCAGGAACAAGAAAAGAACATTGAAAGTCCAGACAGACCTTCTGATATATACCCCTGCACTAAGTGCACCTTGTCCTTCGTGGCGAAGATCAATTTACATCAACATCTCAAACGACATCACCACGGAGAGTACCTCCGATTAGTTGAGAGTGGCTCACTTACTGCAGAAACCGAAGAAGATCATACAGAAGTGTGTTTTGACAAGCAGGATCCAAACTATGAACCTCCTTCTCGAGGAAGGAAGTCCACAAAGAACTCTTTAAAAGGCAGAGGTTGTCCTAAAAAAGTGGCTGTAGGCAGGCCTCGAGGACGACCACCTAAAAACAAGAATCTGGAGGTTGAAGTGCAGAAGATTTCTCCCATCTGCACTAACTGCGAACAGAGCTTCTCTGATTTGGAGACGCTGAAAACGCATCAGTGTCCAAGACGTGATGATGAGGGTGATAATGTAGAGCATCCACAAGAAGCTTCTCAGTATATCTGTGGCGAATGCATTCGAGCTTTCAGCAATTTGGATCTTCTCAAAGCCCACGAGTGCATCCAGCAAGGGGAAGGATCTTACTGTTGCCCCCATTGCGACCTTTATTTCAACCGCATGTGCAATCTGCGTCGCCATGAGAGAACGATCCACTCTAAGGAGAAGCCCTATTGCTGCACGGTGTGCCTCAAGTCTTTCACTCAGTCTTCTGGATTGAAACGCCACCAGCAAAGCCACTTACGCCGTAAATCCCACCGCCAGAGCTCAGCTCTGTTCACTGCCGCCATCTTTCCCTGCGCATACTGCCCGTTCTCCTTCACTGATGAGCGATATCTTTACAAACACATCCGGCGCCATCACCCGGAGATGAGCCTCAAATATCTGAGCTTCCAAGAAGGGGGCGTTTTATCAGTCGAAAAGCCTCACAGCTGCAGTCAGTGCTGCAAGAGCTTCAGCACGATCAAGGGTTTTAAGAATCACAGCTGCTTCAAGCAAGGGGAGAAGGTGTATCTGTGCCCGGACTGCGGGAAGGCCTTCAGTTGGTTTAACAGCCTCAAGCAGCACCAGCGAATCCACACCGGGGAAAAGCCTTACACCTGTTCGCAGTGCGGAAAGAGTTTCGTCCACTCCGGGCAACTGAATGTGCACCTCCGTACTCACACAGGCGAAAAACCTTTCCTCTGTTCTCAGTGCGGCGAAAGCTTCAGGCAGTCTGGAGATCTGAGGAGGCACGAGCAGAAGCATTCTGGTGTCCGTCCGTGCCAGTGTCCGGATTGTGGGAAAAGCTTTAGTCGGCCGCAGAGTCTCAAAGCTCATCAACAGCTTCACGTCGGCACTAAACTTTTCCCCTGCACTCAGTGTGGAAAAAGCTTTACTCGGAGGTACCACCTCACCCGGCATCATCAAAAAATGCACTCTTGATTCAAATAGAAATGCACGGACGCCACATGAAATGCTTTAAAACTTATTTAGTTTCTTTGTCGCTAAATAGCTGTGATAGATTTTTGAGTTTAACACAAGTGGGCAAGCACTTGTTGGATTGTAGATGCATTAGGCCGGTTGTAATCAAAAGTCCAAATTATATTTTATTAATGCCAAAATGTCTAATGGTATGTTAACATAGTAAAATAATTTTGTAAATGTATGTGTTGCGAGATGTTTTCTTTAAGAAGCTTGGAAGATCATGGACTGAGGGAAAATGTTTCATAATTTTAACGTTTATGGGTTTGTGTAGATGCATACACATTTTTTTTTCTTATAGGATAGTTCATCCAAACACGAAAATTCTGTCATCATTTGTTCTTGTTTCCAACCTGCTTGTAATAAGCAAACAAACAAAAAAAAAAATAGAAACTCAAAGTTAGATATTTTGAAGAAAGCTGAAAACCTGTAATCGATGACTTTTATACTATTATAGTAGTTTTCGTACTATGGAAGTCAAAGGTTTTCAGGTTTCCTCAGTGTGGTTTATTTAGAAACAAATTTTGAGAGGATCACATGCTTATGATTGAACACAGCTGGTAACAAATCAGCTCCGTTTATTGCACCAATCAGATTAATACTGACACACCATAGGGGCGTACTCACACTATGTACAGTTGTCTTGAATCTGGCCGAAGCACGCTTGTACCCCCTCCCGTCTCCCCCGACAACCCGCACTCACATTGCATTCGCGCCTGAACACGCTTATGTCATCGATGATGAGCTGTTCAGTAAGAAGTGCTCTTGCTCAGCGCAGTGGAGGTTTCTTTACTTATATCGTTTTAGTCGTTTGATATGCAGTGGCGCAGCCAAATATTTCGCCGAATAGATCAGCCACTATTAACGCTCATAAACAATCATTTAGTCCTCGTGCTGCAGGACTTAGGAGGTTTGCTAAAGGTGCAGCTGTCGTGCAGTGAGGGGTTTGCGTCTTTATTAATCTACAACAGTTTGCGTTCATTGAACATTAAGAATGATAAATCCATATGAACCAGTCCCTTAAGAGTAATGTCTCGTCTTCAGTTTCGGGCTTTGGCACGCTTTGCACTGCCAAGCGTACCGCACTCACACTACAAGCGTACCGCAGCCTGAACCCAAGTGAACCGCGCTCTGGCACACCTCTTCCAACCGGGCCAGGGCCAGCCAACTGATTCACGCCTGAGCCCGACTCAGAGCACTTACACTTCTCAAACGATCTGTGAAATGGGCCTGGGAATGGTTCGGACAGCATAGTGTGAGTGCGCTCCAAATAACCAGAACTTTCCACTCCAGTCATCTTCGTCTTGAAGAATTCCCCCTTTTACCCCTGCTCCTCCCCTTCTCTAATAGGGCGGCACGTCAGTCCAGTGGTTAGCACTGTTGACTCACAGCAGGAACACCGCTGATTCGGCCCCTCTCCGAGCCGGTCAGCATTTCTGTGTGGAGTTTGCATGTTCTACCCGTGTTTGCATGGGTTTTTTTCCCAGGTTTCCTTCCACCGTCCAAAGACATACCCATAAGTTAATTAACTACTTTAAATATAGCATCTTAAGACAACTCCTAGCCAGATATATCTCAGCACGTTCACAAGCAGGGGAGTTCTCGAGACATACCTGAGCCCAAACTCTCCTCTCGCCCTTCAATCTGGAGAGAATCCCGGGCTCGAGGATATTCTGAGCTCAGGGCTCTCTCCTGGGACAGCATGCCAAATATGCTTTATTGTCAATCATCAGCTAAGTGTGAACTCTTGAAATACCGCCTTTTGTGTTCAACAGACAAAAGAAACTCTTGATGTTTAATGACGGAGAGAAATATTTGGGTGAACTATCCTTTTTATGCAACAGTAAAATGCGTAGCATCATCTTTTGTTCTACAAAATTTATTTGTTAATATTTATTTTTTAGTCTGCAGTCATTTTTTTCAGTGCCTTAAGTGTAGTCTGACCTTATTTATAGTGGGTATCAAGTAAATACCTTGCACAGATTACTGCTTTTTAATCTGGCTTTGGTTGCAAATGGACGTCTTAAAATATTGTGATGTTCATTTGTACACTTCTACCATGGTTGCTGTTGTGTGTCATAGCCATACTTGTATGCTGTGTAAAAATGTGTTTATTATCTATATTAAATACAACATTGCCAAGACACGCGCAAAGTAGAAAAATACCTCGTAGCACAAGAATGAAAGTAAATAGCCTTGTTGTCAACATTTGAAATGGATCTTAAGACAAATAAATGGATGTCTTAAGAGAAAAATAGGTTAAAAGAAATAGTTGTTGCATAGCTTCAGATGTTGGCTACAGTACACTGAAGAATTGGTTTATTAGAAAGGCCGGACAGATTTTGTTCATTTAAAAACATTTCTGTGCATAATTTTGTCAAATCTGCAGTTACATATAATGATTTATGCAAATTAACACAAAATATATATTTTTATGTTTTTCTTAAAGTTTTTTTATTATTATTATTTACAATGTAAAAATAAGGATAAGCGGAACAAAATGGAATGAAAAAACTGGTTTGGTAAACAATGCTAGAGCAACTCATAGTACATCCACTAAAAGAATAAAATTGTATCAATAGAAAAACTGAATAAACATTTAGGTAAGTAAATAGATTGAACATTGGGTTTAGAAATCTGTAAGTCTGCATAAGGAAATATTTTCATTACGCTAATTTTGAGATCTACACACTTTTGGCGGTATTGTATTGTGAGAACATTTTAAAATGTGTGTTGAACAATTTCTGTAACAAATGCACATTTATAGTTATTTATCTGAACTACGCGAAATCACACGAATGTTCTGTTCAATAACTCTAGGAGAGCCTGATGTACTTCCTGTGAGTGTTGAAATTTATACACTTAAACCATTTTTGAACGTTAAGGTTCTTAAGAAACCAGATCTTGAGATGCCTGCAAGTTCTTCAAAAGCTCAATGGCACTACACAGATTTCCCGCCTTGGAAACAATTCAACAGTCAAATAAAACCATTCGTAAAATAAAATAATAAAATGTTTTTCCTTTTGCCAATGGTAATCATATTTGACAGAGGCAGTCAAGTCATATAATCGACAGACTAAGGGTGCTTTCACACCTACACTTTTGTTTCGGAACGCATCTCGTTTGCCTAGTCAGCGCGGTTCGTTTGGCATATGCGAACAGGGCAATCGCGCTCTGTTCCGCGCCAAAGTAATCGCTCCGAGATCGCTTGAATGAGGTGGTCTCGGCTCGATTGAAACGAACCCTGGAGCAGTTCGATTGCAGTGAGAAAGCGATCAGATCCGAGCGCGGTTATATCACAGTGTTTTATGGATATGTAATAGGCTTACCGCTATATGAAGAGAGAATTATGAGTAGGGCGTGAAGTTTCGCGAGTCTCCGGATGCCCGCAAACGAGTGATGATCTCCCGGTAATCTCGCGTCTCCCTCCCGGTCCTCAAATAGGCATCGTCGCGCACGCTTCTCACCCCTCCCCACCGCATCTCTCCCCTCCTCACGCACCCTGTCAATCACCACCAAACCACCACCTCTCCTGACAGCTGAGTGGGACGCTGCAAAACAAACCCTGACACTCTGACCAATGTAAGGAGAGTTTACTCGCACTTGACTTGTTTTAGCTCTTTTGGTCCGATTAGAAACTTTGCAGTGTGAAAGCGAACCACTCCAAGAGCAACAATGTAACAATTGTAATCTCTGTTTCGGAACAACTGAATCGATTCACAGGTGTGAAAGCACCCTAAAATTGCTACATAAACACTAGCGTAAAAATTTCAGAAGACTCTCTAGCATACGTCGTAGCTAATCTAACGCTGATTGGGACGTTTATGTTGATTTAGTTCCAATGGCCTTTTTCATACTCGCGGAATTCACACGAGAAAAAGAAAACGATGATGTGTGAACCTCACGGTATGTCTTTCCAATGCACTGAGCTTCTGTTATACAGCTATGCCTATGTATATCCGGAATTTCACTATATGGCACCTATAGGTGACTGCAAGTTGTAGATACACACAAATGTACACTTTATTAATTACTAGTACTGGGTAGGCCAGTACTAGTAACTGCCACTCACTGGATATTTTCCTATTTTCTAACCATTCTCTATAAACCCTAGAGATGGTTGTGCGTGAATATCCAAGTAGATCAGCAGTTTCTGAAATACTGAGACCAGACCATCTGGGACAAACAACCATGCCACGTTCAAGGTCACTTAAATCATCTTTTTTTTCCATTCTGATGCTCGGTTTGAACTGTAGCAGATCGTCTTGACCATGTCTACATGTCTGAATGCATTGAGATGCTGCCGTGTGATTGGCTGATTAGAAATCTGCGTTAACAAGCAGTTAGACAGGTGTACCTAATAAAGTGGCCAGTGAGCGTACGTATAACAGTATACTCCCTCTAGTGGTAGATAATGAACAGACCCTCAGTTTTGATCATGTTGAACCGCAATGCATTGTTGGATACCACTTGACAGATTTGGTAAAATAGTTAAAAACACGAGCGAGGAATTTGTCCCATATTTTGACGAAGAAACTCAACCTTGGTTACAAATCCACAGTTGACTTTATTTCATAAAAGCACATTAACAAACCACATGAGTGTGTTTTCCATACAAGCCTTGCACTGAGAAAAAGGTTGTTTACATGCCTCATCGACTTAATTTAGTCTTTGTGTAAAGACCAAAGGTGACATACTAAATACTACAATCACAATCATTTATAATTCTTGGTTCCATCATATATTTCACATGATAATAACAAATAGTCTTCCTATAGGACGTGGAATTCACTGCTGTTGTATTTGGGACATCTTCCTCCAAAAGCCAGTCTAAGGTCCGTGCGCTGTGTTCAGTTACATTACACTGAACAATTCATAAGACATTTCATTTCATGAAACTACTGTGGCCCATACAGGTCAATCTCAAACACACACGCATACACACATACAAAGTTCAGCCAGTTTCATAATCATACATGTTATCACCAGTGTAACCTATAAGCAAACCAAAAAGAAAACCATTCCACTGATGAAGAAAAAAAAGTAGAAAACATTTATTGCCCCATAACAAAGGTTTAAAGGACTCCACTTTTTTAGAAGTAGGCTCATTTTGCAATGAAACAGTTAAGAGTTAAGAGTTTGGCTCCTGGAGGTAGCACTTTTAGCTTAGCTTAGCATAAATCATTAAACTGACTTACACCATTATATTTTGCCATAAAAAAATATTTTTGTTTATGATGTACAGTTGAAATCAGAATTAATAGCCCCCCTTTGAATTTCAGTTAATTTTGAATTTTTCTCTTTTTTAAATATTTTTCAAATGATGTTTAACATCAAGGAAATTTTCAAAGTATGATAATATTTTTTCTTCTGGAGAAAGTTTTATTTGTTTTATTTAGGTTAGAATAAAAGCAGTTTTTCATTTTTTAAAATACATTTGGGGACAAATTTGTTAGCCCCTTTAAGCTAACTTTTTTTTTGATATAGTCTACAGAAAAAAACATTGTTATACAATAACTTGCCTAATTACCCTAATCTGCCTAGTTAACCTAATTAACCTAGTTACGCCTATAAATGTCACTTTAAGCTGTATAGAAGTGTCTTGAAAAATATCTGGTCAAATGTTATTTACTGTCATTTACTGCAAAGATAAAATAAATAAGTTATTAGAAATGAGTTATTAAAACTATTATGTTTAGAAATGTGCTGAAAAAAATCTCTCCATTAAGCAGAAATTGGGGGAAAAAATAAACGGGGCTATTAATCCAGGGGCGCTAATAATTCTGACTTCAACTGTATCTAATTTTCCTATTTACAGGGTTCATACGGTCATGGAAAACATGGAAATGTCATGGAATTTTGACATTGCATTTTCCTGGTCTGGAGAAGTTTTGCAAAAGTCATGGAAATTAGTTTACCAAATATCTGTATACTTGAATTAGAGCTGCGCGATATTGGAAAAATCTGACATTACAATATTTTATAATTCTGTGATCTATATTATGATTTGAATACAATTTCACCAGACAATTTAACAGGTTTATTTGGATTGATTATGGGATTTTGTAAGGGAGTGAATCTCGAATAATGTAAAACAAATAAATTACAAGCATAAATTAATGAAATATAGTAAAGATAAAAGTCAATTATAGTTTTTAGATATTCACTATTATGGTACAGATATTGAGTAATCAACACTGCATAGTCTTCAATCTATGTTATTTAATCTTTATTAAAGTTACAAAAAATGTCTTGTGGCCGGATTTTTTAAAATATTGAAATGTTCACAGTCACAGCCCTAAAAGATCAGTTCACTCAAAGATTAAAATTTATATTTTACTCACTCTTCACTTGTTTTAATACTATAGGAGTTATTAAATTATATTCCTTTTGTGTTCATTTAAAAATAAAGAAACTTATAAATGTTTAAAACAAGTGAAGGGTGTAATAAAAATGTAAAAATGAAAATAATTCTTGGGTGAACTATCTCTTTAAAATTAATATAATAATCTTTTACCCCATTATGATAAAACTATAATTCCAACATTGCATATCCTGCGATGTGACTATTGCGAATGCACACATTGCGATATCGATGCTGAAACGATATATTGTGCAGCCCTAACTTGAATATATATTGGTTGTCTTCCCTTCTGTCCTTGGCCAAAAAAATTTCTCTCACATTGTTAGTGCTGTGTAAGCATTATCAAAATCCATTTTACATAAGTAGAAAAACAAATTTAAACAAAATAGATTGTTGCGTGTTCTATAACATGCTGTAACACGCTGAACGGCGTTGTTTTTCTTATTATTTACCATGTATATGTAGACATTACATGAAACATTACATCATGAAAATGTACTTGAAAGTTCTGGAAAAGTCTTGGAGAAGTCATGGAATTTTAAATTGTATAAATGTGTATGAACTCTCTATTTAAAGCTTGACCATTCTGTAGTTTATTATGTAAGCCACACGGAAAAATAGTTGCTATTTTCTAGGGTGATATGGCTAGGAACTATACTCTTATTTGGACGTAATAATCAAGGAATTTTGATGCCATGGCTCTACGAGGGCACAATGATATTACGCAGCACTGTTACCTAGCTGGAGACTACCCAGCAACCATTTTTTGTTTCTAATAGATGTCGAAACATAGTCGATTTGGCTAAAACAAGGCTAAATTTGGGCTGTCAGTGAAAACCGAAATCTGGGAATAGGCCAAAACTAGACTAGTCATCAAATAAACAAAAACGAATGACTACACATATAACTGATATCTGTCTATTTGATGACTAGTTTTGGCCTATATTCTTAGATGTTTAATACATTTTCACTGACAGCGCAAGTTTAGCCTTGTTTTAGCCAAGCTGTCTACATTTAGATGTCTATTAGACGTCTATTAAACACAAAATTGTTTGCTGGGTATTTTCAAGAACAGCCTAACATCATAAATTATCTTTCGTTTTTTGCTCAAAGACGCTAACAGTCTAATCCAATTCAATAATTTATGCTAAGCTAAGCTAAAATTGCTTCATTTGATCAACTAAATGGATCCAAAAATAGTAAAACTTAACTGTTTAACTGTAGATGACTTGAAAATGAGCATATTTATAAAGAAGTGGAGTGTTTCTTTAAGTGGAGATGTAAATGAACACTGGAAAGTGGCTAAACAGGAATAATACTGAGAAAAAGGCAGCAGTTGGTTTTTAAGGTTTGAGTCACCAAAACCTTACACGAGGTAAAGTGTGGACTGCTATCGGTAGAAAAAGAGGCATTTGGAGAAAGATGTTTCGGTAGGACCCTTGATATCTGGCTAAGGCTAAGCTAAGTAATGACCACGAAATATGAGCTGGAAATCCACTTCATCCTCAACTTTACAGAATTCTTTAATTTCGCTCAGGTTCCCTCCATGAATGATGTGCTTCCCATTTTATATTAATATATACTTTTAAAGAATCTAGACAAATTATACTTATCACATATAGAACAGTTCACCCTAAGGAGAGTTTGAGGAAAGGCGTGAGGATAAAAAGGGGGAAAGTGTAGCTGGGATTTTTTAAGGTACAGCAGCGAGTGGCAGGTCATTACTGGAGTTTCAGAGACATCCTCACACTCGGTCTCCTCATTTTCAACACTGAAATGGGAAAAATATAGCACTGTAGTTGTTAATGAAAGATCAGTCTTAACAGAACTTAGAAAAAGACACGTTTTTTTTTTTTTTGTTGTTGTTGTTGTTGTGTACGTTAGATTGTTACAGGAACAACTTTGGCAGAACTATCAGTGACAGCCGAATTGTTGTCCAGAGTTAAATATAAGAAAAAAAAACAATTGACCAAACACTGCTGGGTAAATCTATGATTCACAATACTAAGAACGAATAAAGAAAACATGTCTAAAACCATAAAGAATCTGAAATCAAGGTATGGAGGAAGGAAAGTCTTGGGCTTACTGACAAGAACAAAAATGACAAAGTACAAATTTCTCCAATTTCAGTACATTTACATTGAAGTAGTTGAACAATCTGTACTTTACGACGGATCCAGTGACTTCACCTCCTCCACCTGCGACTCAAGATCTGTTACCTGCGTGAAGGGAAATTTCATATTAATGTTCGCCATATTTAAAAACTGCAGTATAGTTTTTTTTTCTAAAAATCTGTGGTACACTTAAAACGCTGGATTAATTTAACCCATATTTAGGTCAAATAGCCCAGCATTTTTTTTTAAGTAAAAGCAAAAACCTTTAATTTTGAGACACAATGTAATCAATACTAGTGAACAGTCACTGAAGCCTGGGGTCTGTTCTTAATACCTCGCTTAATCTGTCAGTGAACTATGAAAAGGGGAAAAATAAATAAATAAATGAAATAATCGTTTATTAATTATAATTGAGTAAAAATGTTTAATTAATCGAGATTTAAATTTTAGACCATTCACAAGGCCTGCACTATGCGCCGTCTTAACCTGTAGTTACATTTTTGGAGAGGTGTGATGCTTCTCAACAATTACAGGTTATAAATGTCCATTTCAATTACTTTTCGATTAATCGCCCAGCTCTAATCTAAGGTGATTTGGCATATCCTGGATATTTTATTCTTAAATGCTTAAGCTTAAATGATCTAAGATAGGGCTTCGATTAATCGAAAAGGAATCGAAATTGACATTCATAACCTATAATCATTGAGAAGCCGCGCACCTTTTAAAAAATTTGACTACACGTCGAGACGATGCATAACGCAGGCTTTTTGATTGGTCGGTTTGATATTGGTGACGAGCACGGATTCATTTTGGTTGTTCAGCATTGACGTTCAATAGATAGTAGATAGTCTGTTTCTGTCGATTGTTTTAAAATCAAGTGATGCACCCTTCATTTAATCTAAGATGATAAGGCAGATCCTGGATCTGTTAATCTTGATAACTGTGTGACGCATGACATAGCTAAATAGGATCATTTCTGTATGGTAATCTTGGCTTCCAGCGACGTATTTGGCTTAGTGCACCCTAGAACTTCTCTGTTGGTGATTCTCGCTGTCCACGGAATACGCTACAGTCTCCACGTCTCCACCAGAACCACAACTCCAAGGCCTCAATCTTTCATCTGTCTGTCTTCTTGATCATCCAGGTCATGCAGCCATAGGTTGCGTTGTCTAGCCTTGCTTTAGTTGCAGTGCATATATCCTTACTTTTCAAATTTTTGCCCATTCCTCTTTGCAGTGCCTCTCAAGCTTTATCAGGTTGGATGGAAAGCGACGGTGTACAGCCATTTTCAGATCTCTCCAGAGATGTTCAATAGGATTTAGGTCTGGGCTCTGGCTGGACCCCTCAAGGAAATTCACAGAGTTGTTGTGCAGCCACTCTATTGATATTTTAGCGGTGTTCTTTAGGTCATTGTCCCGCTGGAATAGGAACCGTTGCCCCAGTCTGTGGTCAGGAGCACTCTGAAGCAGGTTTTCATTCAGGATGTCTCTGTACATTGCTGCATTCATCTTTCCCTCTATCCTGACTAGTCTTGCAGTTCCTGCTGCTGAAAAACATCCCCACAGCCTGATGCTGCAACCACCATGGGGATGATATTAGCCTGGTGATGAGTGGTGCCTGTTTTTTTCCAAACGTAATGCCTGGCATACACTCCAAAGAGTTCAATTTTACTCTCATCTCGATTTTGTTTCTTGTGGTCTGAGAGTTCTTCAGATGCCTTTTGGCAAATTCCAGGTGGGAAGTGGCTTCCGTCTGGCCACTCCACCATACAGGCCTGATTGGTGGATTGCTGCACAGATGGTTGTCCTTTTGTAAGGTTTTCCTCTCTCCACAGAAGAACGCTGGAGCTCAGACAGAGTGATCATTGTGTTATTGATCACCTCCCTGACTAAGGCCCTTCTTCCCTGCTCACTCAGCTTAGAAGGCCGGCCAGCTCTAGGAAGAGTCCTGGTGGTTCTAAACATCTTCCACTTACGGATGATGGAGTCCGCAGTGCTCATTGGAACTTTCAGAGCAGCAGAAATGTTTCTTTAACCTTCCCCAGCCTTGTGCCCCGAGACAATTCTGTTTCGGAGGTCTACAGACAATTCCTTTGTCTTCATGCTTGGTTTGTGCTTTGACATGCACTGTCAACCCTGGGACCTTATATAGACAGGTGTATGCCTTTTCAAATCATGTCCAATCAACTGAATTTACCACAGATGAACTCCAATTAAGCTGCTGAAACATCTCAAGAATGATCAGTGGAAACAGAATGTACCTGAGCTCAATTTAGAGCTTCATGTTAAAGGCTTTCAATACTGATGTACATGTGATTTTTCAGGTTTTTTAGTTTTAACATATTTGCAACAATTTCAAAAAAATCTTTGTTTACATTGTCATTATGGGGTATTGTGTGTAGAACTTTGAGGAAATAATTAAATTTAATCCATTTTGGAATAAGGCTGTATTATAAAAAATGGTTGAAAAAGTGAAGCACTATGAATACTTTACAGATGCAATACATTTATAATTTTTTTAGCTATTTACTATTTTCCCAGGTGTATATAACTACTACTGCATGAGGATTTCAGAACTCAATACATACTTTTAGTATTACCTTTTCTTGAAAAGGCCCAATCTGATCCTGTTATATGAAATGGGCCTGCTCCCGAGTCAAATCTTCAATAACCAAATCCAACTAATTGAGTAATCCACGTACAAAGAACAGACCCCAGGTCACAATTAATGTTTTAAAGTTTATAGTAATTACTATGAAATCTGCAGGCCCTTGCTTGCATCCATAGATTTGATATCAAAACAACATAAAAAATAGGTCAAAAAAGCCGATAAATTTGATGTCAAAACCATGATGTCCATTTGACATCCTAACATAGATGCCTTTTTGACCACCAAAATAACAACCCAAAAAGTATTAAAACATAAGAAAGATTTTATTCATCGACAAGCAACTCAAAATTACACATTTAAACTGGATTTTGTATCCCTAAAGTGCATGTAAATACCCCAATGTCAAAACAACATCAAACTGACATCTAATTTAGAACTTCTATTTTTAATATTAAAAAACACATAAAAATGTATTACTGGACAGTCCTGAAGTCCTGATTTCTAAAACAAATATTAAAAGTCAGTGTGATGTCATTTTGACATCAAGATAACTCAATCAACATCAAATCAATTAGCTTTTTTTGTTTTTTAAAGTCATTTTGAAATCAAATGGTCTATCAATGGTTATGTTTTCCAATGTTTATATATTAAGTTATATATTGTGCTTCAGAAAACATGCATATATATATATATAATTTCATGATACCTTGTCTTGAAGTTGTTCTGTTTCCTCATTTTGTGAAGCTTCAGTCTCCTCTACAGTTTGTTGCTGAGCTGTTTTCTTTTTGAGTAATTCAATCTCCCTGTATGAAAAAAATACATATGTTTAGATTTCTAAAATGGAATAGAAGATTCTTAAAATGTTTATTAATATTGTGGGTGTATAGAATGATCTTAATCCAATGACTGAAGGAAGAACATCAAGAAAGTGCCAGTTTCTTTACTTTTTACAGTACATTCACAAGTTCTCAATCATTCTTTTAAACATTGTTATAATGGTTTGCAATTCTACAATGATTATAACAAAGGTTAGGTCATAATGTGTTTGTGAATCCAACTTCTATACTGTCAGTGTGAATTGTATAAACTGTCTGTTAAAGGGGAACTATTTTAGCCTTTGTTGTCTCCAGATTGTGTCTGTAAAGTTTCAGCTCAAAATACCCATCTTATTAATTATTATAGCCTCCAGAATCTGCCCATTTGAAGACCCATTTGAAGTCTGAAGACAATAGCCGCATTTCCACTATCGGGCCAGTGCGAGCCAGGGCTTATATCGAGCCAGGCCGGGCCAATAGCCTGGGAGGTTAAGCAGTGAGGCCGAAATCATGTTGCGTTTCCACTGTCGGGCTAGTAGCTCGCAGCTTGTCATGCAAACCCCGCCCCCAGAACATCCCCCGAATCGAACGTCACTCAATCCGCCCACTTCAGCGGAAATAAGGCAGATAAAGCACACCATCACATCATCACGAAACTATTAAAATTAGGGAAACCAAAACAAACAAATGACACAATACTGTACAGCAGTACAATGTATGTCTATACGTTCATACCTCTGTGTTCTCATTTTTATTCATTTACTCGCAGACCGACTGTTGGCATCGAAATCCAGTGGTCTTGCCACTAACGGAGGGACCCAGCGCAGGGAGCGCACACATGCATAATATAACACCACATATATAAAATTCTCCGTTAATAACTCAATATAACATGTATTTTATAACATCCTCAGTTAGACAGACGCTGTCCAACATTCATCCCAAATGCTCAAGAGAGAACTGAAACATTAACTTTTTCCTGTAGGCTTTATGACACTTAATAGGTGATTCCCTTTATTTAAAGATGTTGCTTATTATATCCTAAGTAAAGGAAAGTGTTGAGTGTTTCAGCACATAAGAGCAGCACGTAATAAATATAGTCTATATTGCGTTGCGCTCAGCAGCTATGCACTAATAAACCTCTTTATGTATTTAAAGTTTCCTTTTTTAATTTTACCACGTCATTTAAAAACACACACGTTTGAGGACAGAACAAATTTTAAACTTGCAGTTTTCCTCGATGCATCTGTGCAGCTGCAGACAGAAAAAAAAGGTCGCCTAGTTTCTGCTTTCACTCACCCCGAAAATACTCTGTTTGCATGATTTGATTAATATCATCACATCCGAACACTTTATAAATAATATTTAAAACATTCTCCGGTGTTTATTGTTTTTAGAAAATATCTAAAATCTTTTTTTTCAGAGAGGCGTTTGAAAAATGAAAGTTTAATAAAGCTTTGAAACAGTTTGATAGTACCTAATTGTTATAGCTAGCTTTTGTTTGTTTTAAATTGGTTAATTTATTCAATGTGATTTTATTATATCTGATATTTGTAATTCTTTAAATTATTTTAATATAGCTAAGGCTATTTTATCTAGGTATGGTACTATTATTTTGAGCCTACAAAAGTGGACATAAAATTGTAAAGTTTAATGTCTTTCCGTTGTATACATATAGTGTATTATCTCCAAAATAAATAAATAAATAAAAGAAAGAAAAAAGCCGCTCGCGCCATCAACAGAGCTATGAAGGGAGCGCTCTTTTCCTCGGTCTCACACACACATAAAGGCATCTAAACGCGCACAAACACCTTTTAAACTTGACAAAAACTCTTGAAAACCTACTGTCTATTTTGTCTTTAATATGGTGTAAAGATTATTATGCGTTATTGAAATATCAAGGAGGACGCAGCAAAGTAAAGTCACTTATAAATTAAAACTACTTTATTATTTTATGCAACAGCCTTACATTTAAAAGAGAAACATAAAGGTGATCATGAACTCAGCCTATAATTTGATCTCTCTTATTTATTTATTTGTTTATGTGTTTGGCGCATGTGCGATCGGATAACTGTCCCCGCCTTTCCTTTCACTCGGCCCTGAAGCCCCGGCTGGCCCTCTTTGGCCCAAGGTATTCGGCGGGCCGAAAAAGGCCGGCCACTGGCCCCAAGAAAGTCCCGATTTGGCCCTGGAAGTGACAGTGGAAACGTGACTGGCCTTGGCTCGCCCTGGCTCGCTCGCTTTAGGCGCGATAGTGGAAACGCGGCTATCGTAGATGTTTTTGTAGCCTGTGGCTTTAAATTCAAATGAGCTACTTCTCCCCACCCACCGCTCCGACGTGCGTGTCTGCTTCTCAGGCGTTACATCAGACAAACAGCACAGTGACAGAGACACATGCACACGGAATCCGAAATTTAAGTACCGAATTTTCAGGTTGAAAAATAAATGCTCTCACATTGTGACAATCATATTGACACACTGGCTCCGAAACTTTCGGCTTTCAAAAAAAAAAATAGAATCGGGTTTCGTATACAAAAAACATTTTGAGATGTGTTTTGACAGTTCAGAACCACCGAACAATAATGGTGGGCAAAGCAAGGCTTCATGAAACACTGAAACAGTCGAAGCAAATGTGTCGAAGCTTGGAAATGTTTTGAAACCCATCTCTACAGTGACACCTAGTGATCATTTATTATGTATTGCCCTGGAACAGCTACAGAAAAGAAATAGTTAAGCAAATTGAGGTATTAAACCCAACATTGTAGAGAGGTTTCAAATGATTTAGTGAAGTGGTGAGAATTCCAGACTATCATGCAAAGATAAGGGGTTCAAACCCAGGGTGATGCAGCTATAGATGTTAGTTTTTAAATGCTCTGTTCTTGTAACGTGTTTAGTTTTAACATTGTCTGATATCCAAATGAACACTTTGTGAATTAATTTGTCTTGTTTTGGTCATAAAAAGTAACATTATTAAAATAAATCAAGTCATAATTTAAGAGTGTTTGTACAAGTCGGGATTCGAACTCGGGCATTTGCAGCATAGTTAGTCTGTGCACATGCACAGTCTACTAGGATACATAAAATAGAGATTTTTTCCGACCCTGTCAGTCAAACACAGATTCGTCACGCTTCTGAAATGACCAATGCTTTATATCATTTTAGTTACATGACCTGGGTGTTTCGAAACCCTTTAGGCACGTGACCTGGGTGTTTCGGATCATGCTTTGGTGCATTGTTTCGAAACGTTTGCGCTTCGGGATCTCGACACTGTGTGGAAATGTCAGTTTCACGTCAGCCATCCCTACAGTACAAGTGAAGGGCAAAATACCGAATGCCATCACTTGAGCCTTCAGCACAGATCACTTTATGACAAACTCATGGATAAAATATAAACACAATGTGGCGTCAGTGACTGGGGCACCTCTCATTGCTGTTTGGGGTGTGTGTGTCCATACCTTTTAAATACTGCCAGTGTCTTCTGTTAAGGATTTGTTTACTTGCGGAAATGTGTTAAAAAAGATGACAAACATTCATTCATTTTCTTGTCGACTTAGTCCCTTTATTAATCCTGGGTTGCCACAGCGGAAAGAACCTCCAACTTATCCAGCTTGTTTTTAAAGTTTTTACGCAGCAGATGCCATATACACATACACACACAAATTCACACACATACTCATACACTACGCACAATTTAGCCTACCCAATTCACCTGTACCACATGTCTTTGTGCATGTCCGCATGTGGGGGAAACCGGAGCACCCGGAGGAAACCACGCAGGGAGAAGATGCAAACTCCACACAGAAACACCAACTGAGCCGAGGCTCGAACCACCGACCCAGCAACCTTCTTGCTGTGAGGCGACAGCACTACCTACTGTGCCACTGCTTCGCCCAGATGACAAACAATGTAACAAAATTCCAATAAAATAAACTTTGCTTTTCGAATGCAACTGTTTAAGGAGTTAAAGGAGAAGAACTCTCCCTCCTCCTCTTTCTTTTTCTACTTGAGAAGAGTGAGGAGAGCAATGCATCACTGCTTGAATTGACTCTAAAATGCTTTGCAGCTTTTTGGAATGGAATAATAAATACACATCAAACTCATTGTGTACACAGAGGATTTTCACACATGAAAACAAAAAAAAATACATACAAAAATTTGGGATTGTCAGTGTGCAAAGACCTTAAGGCTGAAATCTGAAACAAAATGAGAGTGTTGAAGCAATTTTATAGGCCCAGACTGAACCTGTGCACACAAAAATTTGCGGAAATTCCCCCCCTGAGTCTCCATCACTAACATACACACTATTCACCCACTCTCCATCACTCTCACACTCGAGTTATAGATTGGGCTAGTTGGAATGGAAATTCTTCTATTTTCGTGTGGCCATTGGGCTAATTTTGGTGTGAAAACCTGGCATCCCTGACCTTTAGGGCATACTTACACTATGTACACTTGCCTTAAACCGGGCCTAAGGATGCTTGTCCCCCCTTCTGTCTCCCCAGATGGCCCGCACTCACATTACATTCGGGCCTGGGAATGCATAGGTCATTGATGATGTGCTGTTCAGTAAGCGCTTTCGCTCAGCACAGTGGAGATTTCTTTAGTTATATCGTTTAAGTCGTTTGATATGCAGTGACACGTAGCCAAATATTTTGTAGAATAGATCAGTGGTTCCCAACCTGGGGTCCGCGCCCCCCTAAGGGGGGCGCCAGAGTTCACAAGGGGAGCGCGGGAGAGGATAAGTATTGAGGTAGAAAAAGGCATAAAAATGCTCCACTATTATATAGGGCTGTACAATTAATCGAAAATCCGATTTCGATTACAAACGATTATAAAAAAGCATTAATCAAGATAAACGATTATATGCATCATATACCGCCACCTTTCCAGCTGTGCACGCGTTGCTCTTAAAAGCGCGAATGTGTGTGTGCAGCACGCACACGCAGCCAGAAGCATGCGGCCAGTCAGCATTCGCTCTCATTCGCACACTGAGAAGAGCAGAGGAGCGCAGACATCTAAAGTCATTAACGTGAGCGCTTTAATGGTCAAATAGGTGTCAAAACGCGGTGTTTAGTGATTATTTATATTAGCCCCCATTTGTGTAATAAACAAACGAGTTGAGAATCAAAAAACGTGAAAGAGAAACCATTAAAGAGACAGCGAGAAATATTCCTGCTGCCGCCTGTTTTATCATTAATCAAAAATAACGAGAAAATGTTTCTCTGAAGGATTTTTGTAGCTAAAGTGTTTTTCTTACAGTGAAGATGCTTAAAGCAGTTTGTTTAATATTTTTATTTAATTGTATTTATTTCTCTTTCCTTTGCAGGCTGGAAAATAATACACTTGAAGTCAGAATTATTAGCCCTCCTGAATATTAGCTGAATATTAACTTTTCCTGCCCAATTTCTGTTTCATAGAAAGAAGTTTTTTTTTCTGAACATAATAGTTTTGATATATCATTTCTAATTACTGATTTATTTTATCTTTGCTGTGATGACAGCACATAATATTTTACTACATATTTTTCAAAATACAAGCATTCAGATTAAAGTGCAGTTCAAAGGCCTAATTAGGGTAATTAGGCAAGTCATCAAAAATATTTATTGCTTAAGGGGGCTAATAATATTGACCTTAAAATAGCTTTCAAAATATTTAAACTTGCTTTTATTCTAGCTAAAATAAAACAAATAAGCCTAGAAGAAAAATATTAGAGGAAATACTGTTAAAATTCTTTGTTCTGTTAAACATAATTTGGGAAATATTTATAAAAAAAAAATTCTCAGGAGCGCTAATAATTTTATTGTATTTTTTCTGATACTCGTTTTGAATAATCGTGATTACAATTATGACCAAAATAATTGTGATTATGATTTTTCCCAATATCGAGCAGCCCTACTATTATATATGTATTTTTAAGTACCAAAAAAAAATCAAAACACATGCTTAAAATTCCAACATAATAGTAAAAATAATTAAAATAAATAACTTTAAATAATTATTTAAATTTTGCTAACTTGCGCAATGTGGTTGTCCAACTTCTCGTAAAGGCAAAATCAAAACAAAAATGGCAGAGAAACGTAAATGCAGTGATTCTTCAGAGGTGAAGAAAAAGATTAGACAGTATGTCAAAGCCTACCTAAATTTTGGTTTTATTGAAGGCCAAGACAAGTTAAAACTGATTATTTTATATTTTGTATACATATTATATATTAATATTACACAAACACACATACTGTATGTATATATATATATATATATATATATATATATATATATATATATATATATATATATATATATATATACAGTACATATGTGTGTGCGTGCGTGTGTATTTATATGGTGGGGGTGCTCCAATGTTTGTATATGTTCATGGGGGGGGGCCCTAAGAAAAAGGTTGGGAACCACTGGAATAGATCAGCCACTTTTGACGCTCATAAACAGTCATAAAGTCCTGTTGCTGCAGGGATTAGGAGGTTTGCTGAAGGTGCAGCTGTCGTGCAGTGAGGGGTTTGCGTCTTTAATAAACTACGACAGTTTGCGTTTATTGAACAGGGAGAATGATCAATTAATCCATATGAAACAGTCCATTAAAAGTCACGTCTTGCTTTCAGTGTTAGACTCTGTTAGGCACATTTTGCACTCACACACAAGCGTACCGCGCCAAAGCCCAAGCGAACTGCGCTCAGGCCAGGACCGGCCAAGTGAACTGTGCCTGAGCCGGATTCAGAGCACTCACACTTCTCAAATGATTCGAAAAACAGCCCTAGGCACGGTTCGGATAGCATAGTGTGAGTAGGCCCTTAGGCCCCGTTTACACTAGTGCGTTTTAGTTTTAAAACGGCGTTTTAGAATGAAAACGATCCGCGTCCACACTCGCGTTTTACCCAACGTTTCTGAACTGCTCTCCGTCCACACCAAAACGCTGAAAACGCACATCACGTGACCACACAGACACTCTCTGCCAAGCGCTGCAGCCTGTCTACCCAGATGAGAGCTCTGCTAGTCGGACTTCTCGTCAAGCATCTCCCGCTGGATCTAATCTCACTATATTTATTAAACGGGATATTTCATTCATCTTGTTGTCTTTATCTAACGACATATTCCCTGACTTTGGTCATTGGATTTTTTCTCAGGTAACTTGGCTAAGCGCAAAGATAAGTTAATGATTAATGAAACCACGTAGCCTATTCTGTATATTGACTGATCGCTTGCCTTTATTTCCTATAATGTAAAAACTTATTGTATGTTATACTTTTATAATGGCCATTATCGATTATTAAAACTGATATTCAGCAAAAGAGAGGGTGTGTTTCGTATTTTCACTGAAATTGAAAGGAGGCAGTTGTTATCGGCTCCGTTTTGTTATAAATATCCACACAGTGAAGATGACGCTCATAAGCAGCACGACGCCTCAACATTTCTGCTGTCTGTTAAGTTGTTAATAACAAAATGAAAATAGGCAGTTCCTTAAATCATGTTTACATTTTATTGTTGAGAAGTGAAACAACGTAGCCAGGGTGATGTGAATGAAGTTATAAAGTACACTGTTCCCTTTGAAGATTTACCCATCTCCTCGGTATAGTCTGTTTTCCAAATCAAACTGAGAAGAAGAGACTGCAGCCTTGATCAAACTTGCGAAGTCTGAACAAGGACAAAATGCAGGACTGAACTGTGTGTGTTAGGCTACTTAATATTCAGGAAAAGCCCCAATCAGAGAGGCGAATGTCTGCAGCCCCGCCTCCGTTTTCAGATGTCTCCGTTTTCCATCATCCACACTGAGACGGAGCAGCAGCGTTTCAGAATGAAAACGGCCTCTCCAGCGTTTTCGAAACGCTCCGTTTTCGGCGCTCGAGAACTCCGGCGTAGTGTGGACGGTTGGCGTAACCGTAGCAAAACTTATGCGTTTTCAAACTAAAACGCATTAGTGTAAACGGGGCCTTAGTAAGAATGTGGATGTGTGCTTTTACTCACTTCTGCTGATACTCTTTGATGAGGCGTTTGGCCTTGCTGTATTTGCGCTCCAGAGCCTGGTACTGAGCCTGCGTTTCTTTCAGGTGCTCGTCCACAGCCTGGCACAAACTCTGCGCCTCCATCCAATACCCCTCAAGCTTCTCCATGCGCTCCCGGTTCTCCTGCATGTTGCGCTCCATCTGAGCTTTCTCAGAACGCCAGCGCTGCTTATCCTGCTCTGCGTGATTTAACTTCACACACACACACACACACACACATGCAAACATTACTTGTCATGTAATTAGTAAGAGATCTCTTTGTCAGAGTAGAAGCTTCAGTGTTTCCTTTTTGAAAAATGTGAATCTGTTATTTCAGAGATGGCAGAAGTACACAAATCCTTTACTTAATAGAAGTACAGATATTCATGTATAAAACAACTCTGGTAATAGTTGAAGAAAAGAAAGAAAGAAAAAAAATGGCCTCAAATATGTACAATACCTGACAAAAGTCTTGTCGTCTATGCAAGTTTTAGGAACAACAAATAATGACTTGACCTCTAGTTGATCATTTGGTATCAGAAATGGCTTATATGAAAGTCAAACGCCTCTAGTTTACGCTTATTTTACTAAAATAAAATATGATCATGCCTTGATTTTTAATGACTTAATTAGGACAGTAAGGTCTGACTTTGCTTAGACAAAAGTCTTGTCACTTAACAGAAATAATGTACAGTATAGAATATAAAGTCATGGTGCAGTGATTAAATTAATATTGTGTTTGACTCCCATGAGCTTGGAGGACTGCATCCATACATCTCTGCAATGACTTAAATAACATATTATTATAGTCATCTGAAATGGCAAAGAAAGCGTTCTTGCAGGACTCCCAGAGTTCATCAAGATTCTTTGGATTCATCTTCAATGCCTCCTCCTTCATCTTACCCCAGACATGCTCAATAATGTTCATGTCTGGAGACTGGGCTTGCCAATCCTGGTGCACCTTGACCTTCTTTGCTTTTAGGAACTTTGATGTGGAGGCAGAAGTATAAGCTGGAGCGCTATCCTGCTGAAGAAATTGCCCTTTTCTGTGGTTTGTAATGTAATGTGCAGCACAAATGTCTTGATACCTCAGGCTGTTGATGTTGCCATCCACTCTGTAGTCTCTCGCAAGCCCCCATACTGAATGTAACCCCAAACCAGGATTTTTTCTTCACCAAATTTGACTGACTCTGTAAGAATCTTGGGTTCATGCGAGTTCCAATAGGTCTTCGGCAGTATTTGTGTTGCAGTTCAAACTGATGATTCATCGGAAAATTCTACCTTCTGACACTTTTTCAAAAGAAAAAAAAACTAGAAGTCAAGTTATTATTTGTTGCTCTTACAAGTGGGATCGACGACAAAACTTTTGTCAGGTAGTGCACTTAAGAAAAATATATTTATTACCACTTCCTGTTTCACGCTGGTAACTATACTACACAAAAAAAAACTTACATTTCAAAATTTTGGGGGAAAAATTTTGTTGCCAATTTTAAGCAGCAAAGTATATACGAAATTGTCCATAAATACTGCTTAAAAAGTTTCCCTTTGTATCATCACTCACAATGACAGATAGTTTTAGATTTTCTTGAATGAAGAATGCGTTCAAATTTTTACAGTGACAAGAAATAATACAGATTGCACCACAAAACACAATAAAATGCAAGTAACAAGTATAAAGTAAAAATAGTTGTGTAAAAATGTAAGAGTAAAAAATTTTCAGAAAAATAAATAGTGGAGTAAAGCACTGACACCAGAGAAATCTACTTATAATAATAATAATATATAATAATAATACTTATAATAATAAAGTACTTCGTTACTTCCCATCTCTGCATTGTTTAACCATCCTCATAGCGCTATTGGAGGCAGGAAATTGCTTTGCATGTAATCCAGGACCAGAGTTTTGGGAAACATAAGCATTTTGTAGTGCATATGTAACCCCGCCGGTCCTACACCACCCAACCCACTCCGAGCTGGTATCGAACCGGCGACCTTCCGCATGGGAGTCAGGTGCTCTACCAAGGAGACTAAAGACCATGGCCTCTAGCGTCTGTCGCTAGAGCACCTTTTGAGGTCAGAGGAGTAAGGTTTACCTGCACAGCACTTACTAGCTGGCCTCCATTACACTCACCCCACTAAACCTCACTCCCATCCGGGTCATGGCACCAATGTAACCCCACCGGTCCTACGCCACCCAACCCACTCCGAGCTGGTATCAAACCAGCGACCTTCCACATGGGAGTCGATAGCTCTACAAAGGAGGCTAAAGACCATTGCCTCTAGCGTCTGTCGCTAGAGCACCTATAGAGGTCAGAGGAGTGAGGTTTACCTGCACAGCACTTACTAGCTGTCCTCCGTTACACATATAAACTAGCTTAATGTTAGAGATTATCAGTTCTTGTAATAAACTAGCTGAATTCACAGGAAATTCACTGTCACATTTCAGAGCTATGGCTTGTAGAAGATCTCGATTCATACTAATATGGTGCTTTTGGTGTTTTTTGAGCTTGACGGTTTAAATCACTGTCCACTTTTAGCAGTGCAATTTGTGTAATATCTCATTTTAAATTCCAAATGAAATCATGCAGGTTTAGAAAATATGTGCGTATAATTCAAAGAACATGTCCAAAGTATCTGTCAAGACCATAGACTTTAAAAGGTCAAGATGTATGATGATCCGTTTGATAGAAAAGTGTGCTCATACCTTCCTCTTGAGCTGTTGGATTTCAGCCTGGGTCACAGCATGTTTGATCTGCAACTGTGTCAAAATAGTAAACAGGTTAAAGAACATCACTAAATCTGCTGTTCTGCAAAAACAGATAAAGAGGACTTTCATTAGAAAGACATAAGCATACATCTTCATCCACAGTGGTTATAAAGAACTTCATTATTTAGTTTAAACTTCATTAACTGATCCAAACGAAATGTTTTCTAAGTTATGTTTAAGCAGAAGGTATTCTAGTTTTAATTCACAATGCTTCATGAATAGTTGCCAGCTTGTCCCTTTCTTTAATATCAGCTGACAAATTGAAAAGGGAAATGTTTTGCCCTTTTAACAAAATGTAAAATAGGTCTCAGATGTCCCTAGAGTATGAATGTGATGTTTCAGCTCAAAATACCCCATAGATAATGTTTATTAAATCTTTAAAATTGCCCCTTTTAGTGCCAAATTGTGCTGTTTTGGTGACTGTCGCTTTAAATTCAAATAAGTTTGTGCTCACAGCCCGCTTTTTCAAAAGGGGGCGGAGCCATAAATGCCTACGTGTCAACATAGTGGCAGATTCAAAAACAAGACTTAATATGCTAATGATTGTGATAATGGGCGGGGCTTTCGCCCTATGATGACAAAGTTAGAATGTCAATCAAAGCGTTTCTGCAGACTGTTTCTATTAAGTGTGATTATCAAAAATAAAACAAATACTTTTACCATTAGATGCTGGTTATTTTCACAGACTGGTGCCACACAATTGTGTTTAAACCGCTTATAAAAGTGATTTTTGCATAATAGTTCCCCTTTAAAGTACGTTTGCACAGGTAAATGACTACACTATGTGTGATATCAACAGAAACCAACATACATCGTCTTAGAAAGTCAAATTAAAGCACTTTTCAAGCACTTTCCATGTATATACAAACATCAGATGTTAAAGGTTTTATGTAATGAATATAACTATCTGGAGTTTGTGCTTCCAAACAGTGTTTTAAAATGCATTTCAATCTATCATATATGAGATATATTACAATATAATTGTTTTTTTTTTTTCACAACTTTGTGTCTTACTTCTTTATATTTGTGGGCAAGCTTCTCAGGGTCCACTTCTACAGGTGAAAGCATGTCTTCGTTCTCAGCCAGGTCGAACACCTCTATGGCACTGGGGTATGTGGGGCTCATTTCATCTTCTTCCTCTTCATCCGTGCCATAATCACCCGGCTAGAAGGGAAGATCAGGGTTAAAAACCTATTGTGAATTCTACACAGTAATTCAAATGTTCATTGGTTCATTGGCAAATTCATGTTCATTAACACTCTTTTGATCTTTTAAAAAAAAAAATAAGGCCACAGATATTGGTATTTACACAAAACAGTGATTAAAAGATATGAATACTAAAGTAAAAAACACTTTCAGTTTCTTAGAATGAATTTAAAGGAAAAGTTCACCCAAAAATGATAATTCACACATTATTTACTCACCTTCAAGTGTTTTTAAACATTTATTAGTTTCTCCTATTGAACACAAAAGAAGATATTTTGATAAAACTGAAAACCTGTAACCACTGACTTCCAATGTACTTTTCCCTACAATGAAGGTCAATGATTACAGGTTTTCAGCTTTCATTAAATGTCTTCTTTTGTGTTTAACAGAAGAAACTCAATCAGGTTTGAAACAAGGGGGAGTAAATGATGACATTTTGCACTGCAAAAAAAAAGCTTTTCTTACTTAGATTTTTTGTCTTGTTTCTAGTCCAAATATCTAAAAGTTCTTGAATCAAGAAGCATTTTCTAGACAAGCAAAACATATTGTCTTGTTTTGAGAAATAATATGCCAAAATTAAGTGAGTTTTTCCTTAAATCAAGCTAAATAATCTGCCAATGGGGTAAGCAAAATAATCTTATCACAAATTGAAAAACAAGATTATTTTGCTTACCCCATTGGTAGATTATTTTGCTTGATCAGAGGAAAAACTCACTTTATTTTGGCATATTATTTATTAAAACAAGACAATATGTTTTGCTTGTCTAGAAAGTGCTTCTTGATTTAAGAATTTGTAGATATTTGGACTAGAAACAAGACAAAAAATCCAAGAAAGAAAAGCATTTTTTGCAGTGTAATTTTAGTGTGAACTATCCCTTTAAGTTTACATTTATTGCTTAAATACCATACAAAGTTCAGTATCAAGCAAATAAATTTGTTAACTCTAAAGAAGAACTATGTCTGTTCATACAGATCCACAAAAATGATTAGAAACACTGTGTTATATATGCCAAGCCAGTTGTTGGCGATGTTTCATAACACAGAAACGTACGAGCCTAGTAGCCACTGAAGTAATATCGTGTTTGACAGACTGTATTAAAGACAAAATAAGACTTTGTATAGACTTTGTATATTCACTAGCGAAAAAAACTGTTAATCAGATGGTCTGCGTGACAATAAAGAATGAGCCTCCTCCATTAGGTCTCTTTACTTTTTTTTACTTTTACTCTTTACTCCTTTACTTTCGTGGATAAGGAAACGGTGTTGTACACACTCCAGTGAAGACATCCATTAGCCTATATGTTTATTTTATTGTTTTTTTAACGCAAAGATTTGTTTCAAAACTATTTCTAAAGTCAGTTCTAATTTCCAGCAAACTAATAAATGAACAATAATAACAAAGTGTGGTCAAAACACGTCCTATACTTATGCCCCATATAGTGATGCAAACATCTCCAAAACAAATTTATTAAAACAAATATAAATATGCATATAATAAATAATACAGCTAATAATAATAACATTATACAAATGCAAATTTGAAAAAGTCCCCTGAGATGAGGCATGCAGGTAGTGTTTTTTATATTTAGGTAGAAAACTATCTTTTTTGTAACTTTTTAATCCTTTATTTTTTCAGATGTAAAGATATTTGTGTATTGCTGTACATCCTATGTGTGTTAAGCAATGTGTACGCGTTTGGACCTGCATAGGCGCATAACTAACGCGCTCTGCGCTAGACTTTATTTATTAGACTTTTATTTGGTCAATGTCGCAGACTATTTCAGTTCCTCAAAATAGCAACATGCCAGCAATTGTGCCTTAACACACCTTTTTAGACAAGCACACACATTAGTCCAAAAAGTGGCACAAATGAATTAGCTATTTAAACACCATGACCTAAAACGTGAAAATTAGGGTTGCGAAGATGTGTCAAACCTCTTCCTCATCGCCCATGTAGTTTCGATATCGTTGTTCCATCATCTCCCGCTGCCAGCGCTCCTGCTCAAGGGTCTGCTGGATGAGCTGGGCCACTTCACTTTGCTCTCCCGGCTTTTCTCTGCCAATAATAAACCTGAAAAAAGAGAGGTTTATCACACACCTTAATGTAGCATAAAGCCTTTATTTCTGAGCTCATAACCATAGATTTGGTTCCCAAGAAATGCACCTGAATTAGTTGAATGAAATTAACCTTTCTAGACATCCCAACTCACATAAATCAAAGTGACTAAACATATTAAACTAAACTTTGTAAAACTTAAAAACATTTAGTTAAGAATGTGTGTTTTTTAAATCAGAGATGATAAAAATGCATTATTTATGGTGATTCAACAAGATTTATCATTGAATACTGTTGATACGGCTCTTATAGATCCTTCTATGCTTGTCTTTCTCTCCTCCTTTTTTATCAATCCTCAATTTCCTCCCTTTTCATTGCTCTTCTGCTGTGCGTGTCTGCTCCACCCAGTGTCTGGCTTCATAAACCCTCTCCTTGTTCTGGCATCCCCTGTTAACACTCATCCATCATAATGAAATGTACTATTCTTCTCGTCTAAATACAATCTTTGTAACACATAATTACAACTGTAACAATAACCCCATTGGCTGAATGCTGAATGAAGGCAGAGGGGGAGGCATATTTCATATCAGAAGGCAATGAACCAGAGTCAATCTTTATAAAAAATGAAGTTTAAAGGGCACCTAGGTTACCCCTTTTTTCAGATTTAATATAAGTCTTTTGCATCTCTTGAATGTGTATATAAAGTTTCAGATCAAAATACCCATCAGATTTTTCATTATACCTTTTACAAGATGCTGTTTTATACTGATTTCCAGCAGGGGGTGGTTTTGTCGTACTGCGCCTTTAAGACGTTTCTTTCCCGCCCACTGTTTCTACATGCCTCCTCCCTCAGCTGCGTCAGACAACAGACAGACTTAAAGGAAGAAGGTCTCACGTAGCGTTTGTGAGATACTACAGTAAGAACTAACCTTTACTAATCAGTATTGTGAAGTTGCATTGATGAGTCACACACAATATCGTCGCGCGCGCGCACACACACACACACACACACACACACACACACGCACGCACGCAGGTAGGCAGACAGACAGAGCGTGCTTAGCTTAGTTAAGGCTAACCTCAAGTACTATGTGGATATCTGTTATGCTAATGTACAAAATAAACCTGATTTAACTTCCACAAACCGGGATTGAAGCGTCTTCTTTTATAATTGTTCTGACACGCGGCTGTGCTGATGAAGTAAAGCTGAAGTAAAACGCTGTAATTAATTACACACATACTCTGTTTAAAATCACTTTAAACATGTGAAACTTACTCTTAATCACATTTGATGATGATTGCTGATCCTAGCGAACAGAACAGACCTTTTATTCCCGGTTGCTTTGCGTATGTCTGCCTGGTCTTGTTGACATATACACGCGACTACCGGAACATGTTAATGCGCGCAGCTGTCAATCAATTCAGTGGGCGGGGGGATCGCAGACCCACGTAATGGTGCGATCGATTTGAAAACAGCTCCAATTGGCCGACCCTTTTTTTGTAGTTAAATTGAAAAAAAAGGACTGGGTGTGTTCATATCACCCCAGTAAGACGGTCTATACACTATACCAACACACAGATCTGTCCAAACAGCTTGAAAAGTAGATTTTTTTTACCATAGGTGCCCTTTAAGTTTACACTGAAATGTTCTTTTCACCAAGTTATGGACGTCTAGACAGATTTGCAAAGCTAACACAAAAACATGAGGCTAAATAAATATAAATCTGTGATGGACTTGTATTTATTACTGCCTTCATGTACTTCTACACTTTTAACAGCGGTTAGTTGACTTTACTTAAAAAAAAATCGTAAATATATAATTAAGTCATAGAAAAATGATACAAATTAAGTCAACTTAACAGTTATAAGTTAGAGCAGGTTTACTTTTTTTTCAAATTACAGTAAATTATAGCTTTTTACAATGTAGTAATTCCCTTACAAATTTAAGAGCTATATTAAAATAATAATTGTGATATTAATATTTATGATTTGTCCAAGTGATCTAAATTGTCTCCAACCTTTTTCATAGAATGAACTGTTTTTTTTATGTTGATTATATGCAGCCCGGAGCAATATGGGATGAGGACAAAACCATATTTCTGATAAGAATCACCATATTTTTAGTTTAAGACAGCTTTCTTTTTCCTCCTTTTTGTTTCTTTTCCCTGAATTTAGCTGAATTTTGATATGGATCCATTTGAAATGATGCCATATGTATTTGGATATATGCTTTTTAAAGAGGAAATGCACAAAAAAATAATACAGCGGAATTGCAAATAGTAATTTCGGTGGCATTTACATATTTTTGTTTTAAAATTACAATCAAAACGATAACTGTGATGATCATCAGGGATCTAGCCTGTGCAGATTGTTGGTAATCAAACAGTATCGCATAGAACTACAAATCCTCAATTATGTGGACTACAAGATCCAGTCATGCACTGCACACACACCGCTTCCAAATCCTGGCTGATTGCTAGCAGCTGAAACTGCTCAAAGACTGATTAGTTGGACTATTTATACAGCATACTAAAGCTGCGGTCACACTGGACTTTTCTTTCCATAGATTTCCATTCATACACACACAAATGCAGACCGGAAACGCAAGCTTGTGCGACAAGTTTCACAGTTAGCTCCATTGGAAAATTCAAGCTTGGTGAACTCTGACCTGCTAAATCGCATCATATGATTGCATGAGATCAATTGAGGATCAAAACATGACCTCTCTGGACAGGAATTTAAAACAAGGACCAATTGCAGAGCTTTTCGCAGAGCTGTACAACAGAGTTTCACACGCACAAACTCTACTGTGACCGCAGTATCTCACACGGATATTGTGAACACTACGATGTTGTTTTCTTTGCCTTGTCTTGCCGTGTTTTTGACCTTTGTTTTGTTTGTTTATTTCTGTCTGCTGCCTGCCTTTTGACCATCTGCCTGTGTATTTGATTACGGCTCTGAATTCGCCCACATACATCCGTTTGCTCCTGATTGTGACCGTTGCTTGCCTGACCATTCTCAATAAACCTGCATTTGGATCCGCACCCCTGTTGTCAACGTCACTTCACATTACAATAACCAAAGGACAGGCATTTGATTCACAGTGAGTGATTTACTTCATTAAAGTATTGAGCTCTTATAATCAAAAAGTTTAATCATTCTTGGCTGCCACATGAATAATGGGAAAAGTTTTTTTCACTACAATTAAATATTAATTATTATCAATACAAATTAGCTTCCGGCATAGTTTTTTAATTAACAGCCCTAATTTCCAGCTTTTATCAGCAATAATTAAAGCACTCTGGTATTAATCATGTGTGCTCAATTCATAAATACAGTCATTGTGACATTTACTGAAAGTAGCATTTGATTAATTTGTCATTACTTGTGCCTACACTGATAAGTATATTTCACTGAATAACATCCATTGAAATGCAGTAATGCCTGCAGATTAGATCACAGTAAATATTAAAGGTTAGAAATTGGAATGAGAGTTGTAAATTAAATTAAAATATGTGACATCTGTCACAGTAGTTTCCAGCTATCGGAGAGTTTACTCATTGTTTAAGCAAGCAGCTTCATACGGTCCCAGCTACGTAAAGTACAGTGCTCCTGTTTCTGCATTCAAAAAATTATTTTATGGAGAGTCAGCCTAAGCGAAAAGTACCCGGATGACCAACTACTTCAGGTAAATTTCTGATGTGCGCATCCAATGGATTTTTGGATATGGCTGCATGGGAGAATTTATGAATGGGAGTAAAACGACACAACAGGCGTGGTTAGGTCATGTGATAATGATAATGGTGGATGAAGTACATCTGAATTCATACTATTCACATTCATACTATAACCTACTTTTCTAACAGTTGTGAAGTACACTCACTGGCCACTTTATTAGGTACACTTTTCAAACTGCTCGTTAACGCAAATTTCTGATTAGCCTATCACATCTCAGCAAGTCAATGCATTTAGACCGACCATCAGACTGAGGAAGAAAGGTGATTTAAGTGACTTTGAATGGTTGTTGGTGCCAGATTGGCTGGTTTGAGTATTTCAGGAACTGCTGATCTACTGGGATTGTCCTGCACTCAAAAGACTCAATGGACCCTTCGCTAAGCCCCGCCCTCCTTAGTTACTGTTGCTACGCCTGTCAAGCTTTCGTGCCTGGCACAATGTACAGTAAGTTACCTATTACTGTCAGTATGTTTGTATGCTCTTTATAAATTAATGAAAAACAGCTGCTGGTAAAGTATATTGATCGCAAGTGCTCAATTTGTGATCATATCTTGGTTTTGTTCTGTTGCTTGTAAATTTAAATATTCGTAGTTTGAAATAAGATGGAAATATGAAGTTCAGTAAAGTTGGAAAAAGATTAGCAGATTTGTATTTTCCGGATTAATAACTCATGTCATTATGACCTATTCACTATTAGTATGACTAAGTTACTAAGGTTATGGCGAAGGCTTAAACGGAGCATTACTCATAATATCAAGCGTAAAAAAAAGGAATAAGACAGCTGGGAAACATAACCAGCTTTGTGTTTTTGTAGGAAACACAGTTTAGATCTGTATAGGGTAAGAGGTGTGTGAGTTCTTGCCGCCGGTCTATCACTGAATGTGTCAGGAATATCAAAACAAAACCAGCTTAGCTCCGCATCTTTATCGCTTCTCACACAGCTTGATCCACACTGGCATTTCTCCTCTTGGGTTTTAGGTATTGAAAAGGGAAATTCCCGTCCAAACTTTAAAGATACCGGGTATCAGATTTGCACAATCCATAATTTGCACTCGCTCGAAAGCTTGACAGAGCCCTGCGTGTAGCTACAGTTGCTAAACCACGATTGGTGGGTGGCAATTTTTGAGCGTGGTTTAGCGTAGGGTCAATTAACCACTCATTACAACCGAGGTATGCAGAAGAGCATCTCTGAATGCACAACACGTCGAACCTTGAGGCGGATGGGCTACAGCAGCAGAAGACCACACCGGGTGCCACTTCTGTCAGCTAAGAACAAGAAACTGAGGCAACAATTCACACAGAGTCACCAAAATTAAGCAATAGAAGATTGGAAAAGCGTTGCCTGATCTGATAAGTCTTGATTTCTGCTGTGACATTCGGATGGTTGGGTCAGAATTTGGCGTCAACAACATGAAAGCATGGATCCATCCTGCCATGCATCAACGGTTCAGGCTGGTGGTGTTGGTGTAATGGTGTTGGGATATTTTCTAGGCACACTTTGGGCACATTACCAATTGAGCATTGTGTCAACGCCCCAGCCTACCTGAGTATTGTTGCTGACCATGTCCATCCCTTTATGACCACAGTGTACTCATCTTCTGACTCATCATCTACTTCTAGCAGGGTAACGCACCGTGTCATAAAGTGCGAATCATCTCAGACTGGTTTCTTGAACATGACAATGAGTTCATTGGACTCAAATGGCCTCCACAGTCACCAAATCTCAGTCCAATAGAGCACCTTTAGGATGTGGTAGAATGGCAAATTTGCATCATGGATGTGCAGCCGACAAATCTGCAGCAACTGAGTGATGCTATCATGTCAATATGGACCACAATTTCTGAGGAATATTTCCAGTACCTTGTTGAATCTATGCCACAAAGGATTAAGGCAGTTCTAAAGACAAAATGAGGTCCAACCCTGTACTAGTAAGGTGTACCTAATAAAGTGGCCAGTGAGCGTGAGTTTAAATTCAAATGTAGTACCAAATGAATAGACTTTTCAAACTCTTTACATTAAAGAACGATGTTACAAACTGTGAATAAAATATTTAAAAAAAACAAAATATATGATTGAATAAGTTCAAGGACGCAGTAGTGATTGTAGATATGATGACAGAGTGTATATAAAAAGTTAGGAATTCACAGTGGTCTCCATCTAGCCATCTGAACTTACCGAACGGTCCCGGATGTGTTTCTCAGAACAGATGCTGCAAAACTTTGAGTTACACCAACCAGGCTTGTTCCATCCACCTCCACAATCAAATCATTCACTTGTATCCTGAATGGGAAAAATAAGCAGCATGACATTGAGAAATGACCTCAGACAATCAAGTCAAAAATGATTCTGTGAAATATGCATAACATCGACCTGCCATCCCGATGAGCAGCTCCTCCGTCTGTGACGGTCTTTACGAATATGCCAAGCTTCTCCAGGCCCATGTCAGCTCCAGCACCCATGCCAATAATACTGATTCCCAAACCCTCATTGTCTGTTGATGGACATAAAAAAATTTGTAATTCATTTACAATACTGCTTGCAATAATGCCGAAGACTATTTGTTCAATTCAAAATCCATCTTAAAAACATATATTATTGCTTTATCTTTTCAACACTAACAATCCTGTATTTTTTTGGCAGAAAAGTATGATTGTGTACTATAAACTATATTAAGTTGACAATGTAGTTTCCCAGGGATGGGTTGCAGCTGGAAGGGCATCCACTGCGTAAAACATGAGCTGGATAAGTTGGCGGTTCATTCCACGGTGGTGACCCCGGATTAATAAGGGAACTAAGCTGAAAAGAAAATGAATGAATGAATGTTGATATGGTAAAGTTCATTACACCACAAGAACAACAAAAGGGTAAACAAACATAGCACTAAAAATATACCCATTTTCGATAATTAGGCTGGCTTGTGTAGCAAGCCAGACTATTGTTATCCTATTTTTCTTCTAAGACTAAAAATTAAACTCTATCTCCTCCTAGAGCTTTCGAGCTATGACCACCAAACTGACACCAGACCTCCAAACTGGTCTGACTCGGGTTGCTATATCTTTTCGGACTGATCCGACTTTCGGTTTTCCGAAAAATGTCCCGGGACCGTTGGAAAAATCCCATTGACTTAACATTGCACCAAACTTGGTGGCCTCATAACTCTGCATCAGACTGTCCTACAGACTTCTAGCTGGGCTCATTTTACTTAGACTAGCTAACTGCCAATAACTGATGAGCTTTTGACTTTCTGGCCACACCCTAGCAACCACTTTTGGGACCCTTGAAACTGTCCCATAGACTTCCACTGCATAGATCTATCTATCTATCATGCTAGTAACATGCTAATTTATGCTAGAATCATGCTTGTTACATGCTAATTTGTGCTAGACTTTTGCTAGTAACATGCTGATTCATGCTAGAATCATGCTAGTAACATGCTAATTCATGCTAGAATCATGCTAGTAACATGCTAATTCATGCTAGAATCATACTAGTAACATGCTAATTCATGCTAGAATCATGCTTGTTACATGCTAATTTGTGCTAGAATTTTGCTAGTAACATGCTGATTCATGCTAGAATCATGCTAGTAACATGCTAATTCATGCTAGAATCATACTAGTAACATGCTAATTCATGCTAGAATCATGCTAGTAACATGCTAATTCATACTAGAATCATGCTAGTAACATGCTAATTTATGCTAGAATCATGCTAATTCATGCTAGAATCATGCTAGTAACATGCTAATTCATACTAGAATCATGCTAGTAACATTCTAATTTATGCTAGAATCATGCTAATTCATGCTAGAATCATGCTAGTAACATGCTTATTCACACTAGAATCATGCAAGTAACATGCTAATTCATACTAGAGTCATGGTACTAACATGCTAATTTATGCTAGAATCATGCTTGTAACATGGTAATCTATCTATCTATCTATCTATCTATCTATCTATCTATCTATCTATCTATCTATCTATCTATCTATCTATCTATCTATCTATCTATCTATCTATCTATCTATCTATCTATCTATCATCTATCTATCTATCTATCTATCTATCTATCTATCTATCTATCTATCTACCCACTTACCTCACCCACCCACCCATCCATCCAACCATCCATCCATCCATCCATCCATCCATCCATCCATCCATCCATCCATCCATCCATCCATCCATCCATCCATCCATCCATCATCTATCTATCTATCTATCTATCTATCTATCTATCTATCTATCTATCTATCTATCTATCTATCTATCTATCTATCTATCTATCTATCTATCTATCTATCTATCTATCTATCTATCTATCTATCTATCTATCTATCTATCTATCTTTTCATACTTTTTAAAACGGTTTAAACTAAATAAACTATTACCATCAGGCGTTCACAAGCCAGCCTCAAAGTTTGTCCTCAAACTTTAAGAATCTAGTTGATTATATTGTTATAATAAACATGTACGATATTGATATCAAAATACTGTAATTATTTATTATTTAATTATTATTTTTAGAACAAACCATTCTGAACGGACTTATAAGCGCAAAAACTACACTATGAGTACTGTCCCAATCAGTATTGCCAGACGTACGATAATTATCGTATTTGTAAGATAATTTCGACCTCTGTACCATGTACGGTCAATAATGAAAAAAATCCAATAGTGTATAATAATTTCAAAATTTTATGACATTTAAAATGAATTTCATTGTAATCTTAGGACTTATTTACTCATGGATCTAGCTGCATCTTGTGTCTAATCTCTGTGAAGAGAACTTGGAGTTATGCACATTTTCTTTCTCACTTACGTTTCATGTTCTCAGCCAATCAACGTGGAGAACGGCTCTCCCTCGTGAGTTAACGTTCCTGCCGTCCGCGTCCGTGCTTAAGTCAGTCATTTTCAGGTTGAGGTTGATCGTTTATGCAATACAGTTTTAAAAAGTAGTGCTGAAAAGGAAGGTGAGAAGGACAGGAGAGTTTGCCCTTGATGTTCTTGTTTTTCCCCATTCTAATGCGTCATGTGAACGTGTTTTTCTTTGAAGTTAATCTTATCAAATCAAAGCCACGAAAATGGCTCATTATAGATACTCTGAATAGGCTTGTGCACACGTCTGTGTGTGTTAAAAATTTGGGAGGATGCACTGCTATCACGCCAACCAGCACTATGTTGCGGTCCATGACGGCATCCGATTTGTACCCCAAAATGAATCCCTTAACATCTGGCAGCACATGCAGGACAGCGACTCGGAGGTGGAGTTTGAACATTTCCACTAGCGTATGCCTATTTTTTTTACGTATTGTGGCAGTTTGCACGTTGTGTCAAAACCTAGTTGTCTAGATAATAGCTGTATACACTCAGTTTGACTCGTGTATGATAATTTTGAAGTTCTGGTATGACACTTTGACATTTCCAATCTGGCAACACTGGTCCAAATCATTTAAAGGAGACATATTATGAAATAAAGACTTTTTCTGTGTTTAAGTGCTATAAATGCCAACCCAGAAAAAGTTTTTGTAAACATTTTTCTGCATCCATACAAAAAAAGAAATGATATTAACACACCTTAATCTGCTTATACACTTATACAAGGCCAGTTTGACACTGTTTCTAAAAGGTGCTCTAACTTAAAACCCAGAACAAGTGTGTCAATTTATATTGTATACAGTATGAATGTTCCCATTGTCTCTTGACTGTATTCACAGACACCAGAGATATTTGATTAGATTATTCTGAAAATCCATGATTCACTCATAATTTTTTTTAATGTTCTTTGAGGACTGGAGAATTGTACTAGTAGTGTAATGTTTTATTTGCAAAAGCAGCACATAAAACACGGCAGTAACATGCTAGTCGACCAGTTTATTCAACTTTACTCCACAGCAAATGTAAAAATGTATCCACTAACCATTCAGAAATGTCCTTTTATGGCTCTTTTCCACTGACTGGTACAGTACGGTACGGTACGGTTCGGGTCGGTACGGGTCACCTTTATCAGGCTTGCGTTTCCATTACCAAGGGTACCCTTTTGGTGGCCGTGGTATACGACAGAAAGTTTTAGTCGACGTAATTTTCGCTCGAGAAAATGTCTACAATAAAGTTGTACGGGTCGTTCACATATCATATGAGAAGCATTTCTTACAAAACAGATGCAATATACAAATAAATCCTAGTGTATAAATGTTTATTACTAACTTTTCTATGAACATGATTTGATTATAACTGCAGATCAATGACAGTGCGAAATAGCCTACTGTAACGTCTGCAGTTATATAAAATAAATACATAAATGTAACATATATGAACACATACAGACCCTTACAGTCTCTGATATGTTATCAATTACAGAAAAACTACACACAACAGACATTTAGTCCTTATTTAGTTTTAAAAACAACACAAAATATAGCCATCAGTCAGTGTAAACCTCTCATCTGTGTGTCAGCAGCACATGTAGCCTCTCTTAGAGAGTCATTCCATCATTCAGAGTTCATAATAGTAATAATAATATATTAGTAGTTAAACATGGTAGTTTGTTTACGTTTACGCTGAAGAAATAATGTGCTCCTTTTTTTTGACTTCACCTTTTTTTCGCGCTTCAATCTCGAGTTTCTCGGTTACTGATAGGATCGGGTTTCAAAAGCACGTCAGTAATCAATAATCACGTTATTATAATCAGCTCAAGAAGTTTGTTATTTCAGATTTAGACGCACGGTTATATGTATATATAATAATGCTGTAATCTCTAGGCTCGTCGGCTATGTATTTTAAACATAACGGTTATTTTGTTTTCATTCTGGCTTGTTGCATAAACTAATAACATATCTCTGTAAACCAATAGCGTTTATTAATCAGGGGTCGCCACAGCGTAATGAACCGCCAACTTATACAGCATATGTTTTATACAGCGGATGCCCTTCCAGCTGTTCTCCATCACTGGGAAACCATAGGAGAAAATGAATAAAGTAACCCAACTTCTGTGTCCGATAGCACCTGCCCTTTTTGCTTTGTGAGCAAAGCTGCGACTGTTGTTGAGTGCATGAAGACTTTATTTCATATGGTATACAAAGTGCAGAGTGTGAATGCACTACTCGTCCTATTTATACTACAAAATGACAGAGAACAGTGCATAAGTAGAGTGCATTTGTTTTCAGACGTACCTAAAGTCTTACACAAAAGATTTATTTACATCTTAAATAATTTGGGGCCTAATTTGTCATATTTTATTGTGTTCTACTCAACTGCAAAAAAAAAATAAATTAAAAATGGAAAAGAAAAAAGAAATCTACTCGCTTGTCCATCCATATTGTCAACCTCAAAGCTTTTCATCCATCAATATATCCATGCATGTATTGATTTTTCTAAGCATCATTCACCGCCTCTCAGTACCTTTCTCCAGCTCGACGGGGAACAGGTCCAGCCTTTCCACACGTTTCTCCAGCTCATACTCAGCAGAAGCAGCCATGGGGTCCACGTCATCATTCCTCCTGTCGTAATCCTCATTGGAATAGGTTGTAAACACCTGGAAATTTGATCATATATTAATGACCACATCAATAGCCAGCTTTAAAGGTTATATTAAAGGTGTTATTTGTACATTTTGGACTGTTCTAAAGCATACAAATATTGTAATATGTTTGCAGATATTTAAAGGTCCAATGAAGTGCTTTGAAATGTACATTTTTCATTTGCCGTTTGACGTAATATAATTGAAAAATGAAAAGCGGGTTGGACATAGAGTAGCTCCTCCACTTTTAAAAAACAGCCAGTAGCGTTTCGTTTTTATCACAGCTCTGCCAGTGAGAGTGGTTGAGCTCAAGCACATCAAATGAAGAGCAAATGAAAAGCGCCTTAAAAGGGGGCGGAGCATGTCTGAACTATAGACAAATTACCAGGTTTGTAAACATTCAGGATGTGCGCGCAGGGAGGTCTTAGAAAAAAACGGGAGTGCTAGCATTTACATCGAGGGAATGACATCCGATGTGGTCCATAGTTTGTTGTTGTCTTAGAAATAAGATATATTGATTACATATTATATATATTATTTACATAATGCTTTCAGCGTATTATAACAGCTTGTCACCCAGTGATAAGCACAGTGATTCGGCAAAATTAACGTTAAAGTGAGCGGCGTTCATCTGAAGGGTCCATTGGCGATAGTACTCTCCCAATGGATATTGGATAAGACAAAATGGCCAAGCATACAGCCCAAAATATACAATCTCATTGAAGCTCCAAGTGATTTTACAACAGAGAAGTTAAAGGCCTACAAGTCTTTGGATGCCAACGATGTTGTTCTGTGTGGTCACGTGCAAGAAATAATGCTCCATGATTACCAGATTTAACACTATATAGGGCTAAAAACCGAGGTTCTGCCTAGCCAAAGACAAGGAATGAAGACGGAACTGTAAAAGGCCTGGATAATCATCAACAAGCAAAACAACTGCATTCTGACAGTGAACTACACCTGTACGACAGGGAACTTACACATGAAGGTATGTTTGGATTTATATCTGCACATTTGGACTTTCTCCTTAATAACATAATTTCATAATAGTATTATTTGCGAAATCTAAATAGCGAAATCATATTAGCAGCCAATGACTATCAAAGTACAACATTGTTCACAGTCAAATAAACAGTGTTAATGTTGTTTTCAAGTCACACTTGCAGGTTATTTCAGACAATAACCTGCAAGTGTTATTCTTGCACATTTATTTACACGTTTGCATTACTTAGGGCAGGAAAGAGACAGGCTGCACTGGTAAGCAGTATCTTCATAATATGTGTCTTCACAAGTGAAGGCATTATCTACACACAATATGAATTCCCAATTAGAAAAATACTACAAACAATAAAATAGTTTTCATAAAAATACTTAAATAATAGACAAATCCAAATGCCCGACACAAGCGGGCTGCATTCCAGACCAGATCAGCTCGATGAAGTATAATGACTCTGATACCGCCTATAGACCCATTTAGCAACTTGAGAGCATCTGTCTTATTAAAGAAGCATAACCGATTTAAAAAATCAAGAGTGTGATGTAACTGATGTGTTTTATGTTGTAGAATAAAATATGAAAGCATGTTGAGTTTGTGGTAACCACAAACCTTATTTTAGCCATTTTAAACCGAAATCCCATTCAAAATACCTATTAACTTTGGGACGAGGGAACCGGAACTGCTAAAATGCTAACTCGCTAATGGGTTTTTGCATACAAATTGACGTCTTGGTCAGTGTAACTCCACCCACTGCCAGATTACCCAATTATATTTCAGCACCTGGGGTTCCTTGGCCACATCCAGACGACAGTAGCAGCCTCCAAAATTCACACAAGGTGTTTTTTAATTAGCAACTAATATACATATTACAGATGTAAACACTAGCTCAGCAGCTTATACATTTTAGCCTTGATCATCATGTTGCTCGCTTCTGTTGGTGTCATCAATCTGACAACGTGGGTTTGCGATTAGTCGAAGCGGCTGGGTGAAAAGAAAAACCTCTCCAATATTTTGAATTTGGACTGCAATACTTAGTTTAACCACTAGGTGTCAACCACACATACTGGAGCTTCAACTATATGCTGCTTATTAATTCAATTCACTGCAATATTTAGCAAAAGAAATGAAAACACAGGCTCAAATTGATGCAGTAAAACCGATGCTGTTCATATTACCATTTACAAAAATGCTGAGGAAGCTTCTGGAGCTGAAATTCAGATATGGTACAAGGTTTTTGGTTTCTGGCAGACATTAAATCTATCGAAAAAGACAGAGAGGTATCTGAACAGTGTAGATTCTGAAAAGGAGGGGTTTAGAGAGACTGTGTCCTTGAAAGACTATGGGAAAATGGTGTTTCTGTGTGCGTGTCTGTGTTTTTGACCTTGAATGGATGTAAACATTGTTGGAGATTTTTAAAACGCTCTTAGGAATCCTTAAAAGGGTCAAGATTGCCTCATCACAGCAGGAATGCAATAATGGTCACCTATTTGCAACAACTCGTCTTTTCAATATCGCTCACAAATGTCAAATGTTGGTTTAGCAACAAATGTTTGCAATTTAAAGTTACTCATTGTCTAATTCTCACACAAGACTCGCTTCAAAATCGCAAAACATACAGTTAAAAGAAACATTTATTTTAAAAATCACAGTTTTTCCTCACACCATACAAGTACAGAGACCAAAAATATTCTCCAGGACAAAATGAAAAGTTTAAATATTTAGATTAGACCCCGGATGAGAACCCAAATGTATGTTATGTACATCCATGGCAACTCTTATTTGCACCACACTAAGCAATAGTAAAAAACATTTAAATAAATATACAGACTAAGTGCTGCATGCGATTTGATTCTAATCATTACTTTATCTGATGCGCTGGTTGTGGATGGAATTGAAGTGGCTTTCTATTGAAAGCAAAGCTGTGTGGGCAGAGCAGGTGTGCCCACTTCACAGCACTTCTTGAGGCTTCACACTGACAGTTTTATATAATCATTTTACCGTGGGTGCAGCCTGCGCCAACTTGACCTGCTTGAACATACATGTATGTTTTGCATTTGTATGGTCTGTTACTGTAAATACTCTAGATGGCCATGCTTTTTTTGCCCTTTTACCTTTGTATTGCAATAAAAACTTAAAATTTTGAAAAATATTCGGAAATAATTAACTAGCATAATAGGTCTCCATGTTATTTCAAAGACACAGAAATGCTGCTGAATTTGTGAGCATACAATTTGTCAGCACTTTTAAAGTCCCTGTGAAATCCAAATTAAGTTTTTTGTATGTTAGTCTTCAGCATATAATCAGTGTTCATTTCGATGATGAAAATTTTTCCTTATTATTTTTGTGACGAACCAGTTTCTACTGACGAAAACTAGACAAAAACGAAATAAAAATTAAATGATGATGACGACAACTATAATAAACATATTTTGACATTTTAGTTGACTAATAAAAACCAGACGAGAATGTGAACGCTTTAAAATTCCTCTCTGTGAGTTAACACCATACCTGCCAACAGTCCCGTTCTCCTCGAGAGTCTCCCGTATTTCAGACTGATCTCCCGTCACCCTCCCGTTTTGTTATTTTTTTCCTGGAAAACTCCCGTATCTTAACCCCCAACCTCTCTAAATCTCAAGTAGATTAAGTCGACTAAAATCTAAAATTTCGACTGAAATTTGGCTAGGCTGGTCAAGCTGGTTTTAGCTGGTCATCTCCCAGCCTGACCAGCTAAGACCAGGCTGGAAATGGCTGGAAACCAGCCTGGAAATGGCCAAAACCCCTCTAAAACCAGCCTGGTTAACCAGCTAAAACCAGCCAACCAGCCTCGGCTGGTTTAAGCTGTTCTTTTTCAGTAGGGCTATAATGAATTATTGAATTAATATTAGCAAAAATCATTGGTACCTTGTGTATAAAACATATTCCATAAAGACATGTTGTAAGTTTCCTACAGTAAAATAAAACTAGAAGTAAATTAAATTAAATTAAAGTAAAATATTCTGTATAACTAATATATTCTGTAGAGATATGCTTATCCAAAATCTGAATTTGGACAGTTTTAAGGGAGATCTTTATAATATTTCGATTTTTTTAACCCTCAGATTCTAGATTAGTCATATTAGTGAAATAGTTACATATCGGCCAAATGTTTTCCCAGCCTAACAAATCACTCATTTATACATTGTTCGCATGATCTATAAATCCTTTATTAATCTTTTTTTTTTTAAATGACCATTGTGACTGGATTAAGTCCAAGGTCACAAGCAAAATATTTGTATTTGTGATTCATTTTTTAAGCTGTAAATACGTACATCCAAATAGTTTCAGCATCAAACAAAACATTGAATAATTGATCTTTAGTAGCTGTAAATGGCATGTACGTATACCTACACATGGCTGGCAGAATCAGCCGGATATTAGTGAGAAAATATATCCAAGATGGCCGACATACCCAATCAACCATTCATTCAAACCTGTAAATGAGTAACGTGCACAGCATTTTCCTGTGCTAGATTTTTTTACTTTCCGCCCCATCCCTAAAATGACTGTTCTCTTCAGATAATGCAACCAAGCCACCTGTCATATCCCACCAAAAATAAAAAATCCAATCAACTCCAAATCAAGTGCTGCCCTACTTGTTTTTTTCTCCATGCAATATCCTGTACAACTCAGAATGAAACAGACATTACGGAAGTAAAACTGACTGTTAAGTGTGAACGTTGTTATGCAATCAAACAAAAATAAAATCAGACAGTCTTTATTCCCCAAAGCCAGACAACCACCAGCCGCATCCTAAATCCTCATCCCTCAGTTCACCCACTCATGTCCTAACGCAAACAGCCCACTGTTAGCAGCACATCCCACATTACACACACACACCCCGAAGAGAAAAACTGCGCTTTACTGCCATCTGTGCTTCACTTCCACCTGCAAAGCACCCTCTGATGCATCACATACAGCAGCTGAGACCACATGATTCAGCTAGACTGTGTGGCTGGCTTTTTTTTTTCCTGCAGTGCCC